ATGTCTGAGGTTTATTTGAAATCTGCCTTAAATTTTGGTGCAGGAAAAGCTGGGACAGTCCCTGGCTGGTGCCCTGATCCAATTGAACCCCAGCCCGTGGGATTACACCACACTCAGCTTTGCCTACACCTGAGTTTCTCAAGATTAATAGCTAATCAAACTGAATTTAGCTAAATATTTGTGCATGTTAGTCTGTGTGCTGCACAAACAAGATGCAGGGAAACAAAGGCTTTAAAAGTGTCCAGACAAGCGTGTGCAAATGTCAGCTAACTGGGATTAATTGGCAATTGGGTACCTTGAGATGGAAACTCAGAGCTTGTCATGATAAATATAATTAATGGCCTGGTATTATGTGGGGAGGTCAGTGTGGATGGGCTAATGTTCCCTTCTGGCCTTAATATCCAGACAGAACTGTGAAATCTCATGAAATCTCACATTTCCTCTTCCTTTCTCCTCCTTGCCCACGTACCTGGGGCCTCCAGGCTGGCAGAGGCAGGAATGTGTGCTGTCAGCTTCTTTGCATTTCCAGCAATGGAAAGCATCAGTTTTTATAAATCTCATTTTTGCCAGCCCCAGCCCCTCCCTGGTTTGGGCTGATATCAGAGGATGATGGTTGAGGTGAATCAGCAGAGCATGAACTTCATGGAGGTGTTTCTCTTTCTCTCCTGCTCAGCTGTCCCCCTCCCCCAGTCCCCTCTCATAAACCCCTGAGCACCCAGCCTTTATTCTCTTGTTGAATCCACTTCTTTTCTTTACTTTTAGCAAACTCATCTGTGTCTGATCCTGTTGTCCTCCCTGTCAGATGCAGTAATATTGGAGTGAAAGGGCTAAACTGAGGCTGCTCTGGGACTCTTTGGGAGTCAGCTGAAGCTCTGCTGTGGCAGGGGGGTGCAGCCCCGGCTCCTTTGTGCCCAGGGAATGCAATTTTCTCTTTGCAAAGGCTCTTGCATCATTTGCATTCCAATGGAAGCAGCAAACTGGGCTTGGGTGTGGAGCTGGCAGCAGCAAAGTCAGCCCTTTTCCTCTATCATTTGGTGAAATTCCCCAAACTCCCTGCTTTGGGGAGCATGAAAGGAGTGTTGCTCCCATTTGGACAGATTTCCCAGTGCTTTGAATGTGTGAGAAATGGGGATGTAACCACCCCACCTGTAAAAAATCACACTGAGTCTGGGCTGGCTCTTGGAGCTGCTGTACCCACCAGAATCATTTCTTTAATTTCTGTGCCATGTTGCTGTGGGACCCCAGGATGCTCGGGGGTGCCCGGCTGGGGCTGCTGCCATCCTGCCTGTTCCTCTGAGGTTCCTTCCACCCTGGGATTAATCCAGGCTCCCATCCCCAGCCCCGTGTCTGGGATGTGCCACCTGGAGGAATTCCCCCTCCTTTCCCTGCTGCTGGGAATACAGAGCAAGCTCCAAAAGTAATACTGACAGCCTTCAGAATTATGATACACTGGAGCTGCGGCGTAATTCTTTGTTGAAGAAGTTAGAGGCCTAAAATGTTAAGGCTTATTGTTATTCCGAGTTGATAATCTCTGCCTTGCTTTAATAATTTTTCCTCATGCCTGGATAGCCTGCGAGTTGCACAATAATCACTCACACAGCTTTGTAATCAATGCCCAAAGTAATAGGATTCCGCTGGCCAACGGCAATTAATAAATTTGTGTCTTTTTTAAAACACTAGCAAGTCGGGCCTGAAATACGACTGACTGGCTTTCCTCATTTGCATATTTATTGCAGTGGAAAAATTCTTGCCGAATGATTGATGTTGAGCCTGCCTCTTGAATTCCAAACAGCACATTATTATGAAATGAAAAATGCCGGCCATACAGTTGATTAAAGTTGAAGACAGTGGAATCGGTGTTTTTTAAGATTGTGGGAGAATTAAAGGCATATTTTAATAGATGTTGACAAGAAGTGAACTAACAAAAGCAAAGCAAAGGATTTGCTTGAAAAGATTTAATCAAACGTGTTTGGTGGGGGATTAATTGCTGGGGATGACGAGTGCAAGTGGCTGCTGCTGGCTGTGAGTGGGGAGCATTGTTCCAGGGCCAGCTCATCCAGGGCCATTTTGACCTGGAGTTTAACTCCTGTCCCTCAGCCCTGGAAGGGAGGGAAGGTTCCCCCTCTCCTTGGGATAAACCTGTGTGCCAGGTGGAGGTGCTTCTCCTTGTGTGGAGCCGTGCAGATCAGAGGGAGGGTTCCTCTTCTCCTTCTGATTTGTGTGGTGGGGTCATGGGGGCTCCCTGGGACTGGCCATGGAGGCAGGGGAGCACTCCCAGCCCAGCTTTTGCTCTGCATCCCCTCATTGATGATTTGTGGGTCATGGGGGCTCCCTGGGACTCTCCATGGAGGCAGGGGAACACTCCCAGCCCAGCTTTTGCTCTGCATCCCCTCATCCCAATGCCAGCATTGCCCCAGCTTTCCTGTGTGGGTGCTTCCCCAGCCTGTGGAGGGGCAGGGAGGATGGAAAGCATTGCATGCCTGTGATATTCCTGTGATGCCAGAGCCCCAGATTGAACTGAGGGGGAAAAGTCCTGAATTTCCAATGCTGGCACAGCTCTGCAGTGGAGCTGTGTGCTGGGTAGGTGGTGGTTCCTGCTGGAACAGCCTGGGAGGGGTTTTCCCAAGGATTCAGTGTCCCATGCAGCTGCTTGGGAGGGTGGAATGAGACCCCATCTTTAGAGCTCATGGAAGGGAGTGCAGGGCTTTTCCTGAGTGGGAAGCTGTGGGAATGCTGGGGTTGGAGCGTGGATGAGCACAGCAGCCCCTGCAGCCAGGTGTCCCCACTCCACAGTGTGCCCACAACCCCTGGCACTGACAGAACTGAGTTTGTGTGCTTTGAGGGCAGCAGCAGGGCAGGTTTCACCTCTGGTGGGTCTCCTGGCACTTTGATCCACGGCAGTGCTGTCCCTGAATGGAGCTAAATGCTCCAGGACTGCTTCCAGCCTGGCTGGGGGCTGCATGAAGGGAAGATGTAAGAATATTGAGAGAAAGGCACACTGTGATTTACTGGTGCTGGCTCCCAGCGTTCTGGGTGGGTTCATCTGCTGCCTGATGGATCTGGAACAACTTTTCCCTCCTGGACACAAAATAAAGGGGCTCCTGTGGACTCTTCCAGGGCAGTGTCTCACCACTGACACTGAGTCCCATCTGAGCTGGAGGTTACATTCCAGCCAGGTTTGTTGTGTGCCAGTTCCAGACGAGGAGCAGCATTACAAAAATCCTGCTGGGGGTAGGTAGGAGGGTCAGTCAGTGTCCAGGGTCCTTTCATGACCCAGTTTGCATCCATGGATCAGTTTGGGTTTGTGCTGCCTTCATTCACAGGTGGGGCCAGACTCTGCCCCAAGGCAGGCAGTGCAAAGGGGCTTCAGTGGGAGAGGAGATGGAGAGGAGGCTGGGAAGAAAACAGCCCCCTCTGGAATGAAATGTGGGATGGATAGGGCAGGGCTGGATGGGCAGAGAGCAGAGGAGGGTGATTCTGAAGCTGAGTTTACAGCATACTGAAGCAGCCAGCAGCAGAAGTGAGAATGCCATCCAATAATGCCATTAAATACCCAAGAACTGAGAGCAGGGAAATTACCCAGCTCTGAGAGGCTGTGATGAAGGCACTGCCTGGAGTAATTAGCCCTCCCACCTGGTTAGACACACGGTCATTGTCTTCCCTGCCCTCTGCAGCCCCTTCACTCCAAATGGAACTGCTCCCCATGCCCACTTGTGCTGGGCTGTGTCTCAGGGCCTGGGGCAGCCTGAGCCTGCTTTATTTCCTTGCTGCTGTACCCCAGAAGGGCTGGAGTGCTGCTCCACTTGTAATTGCCAGGATCAAAGCTGCCTGGGGTGCATTAGCACTGCTGCTGGAGGAGAGGCAGCAGGGAGAAAATAAACAGTTTGGGAAGCTCAGGGGACACTGGGCTGTGCTGCAGGCAGTGGGAAGGATTTTGCTGGTGTAAGCTGTGCACTCAGGCTAGGGTGGGGGCACTTGGCTCCTGCAAGTGATGCTTTAGCTGCAGACACCTACAACAAATGCATTTTTAAGGGCTTTTGTCTGTTTGTCTGGTGGAATTGTTTTGATGCTCACACACGTCTGATTTACAAGTGCAGCAAACCTAATCCGTTAATAGGTTTATATAGCGCAGTTGTCAGGGTGGATCTATAATGAACCATGGGCTCAGGGAGGGCCAGTCCAGCAGCTGATCTGCAACAGAAATCTTAAAGCATCTTCTCCTTGACACTGCTGTTCCTGAGGTCAGGCCATCATTTATCTGGAGGTGGTGACAGCTGAGCAATATCACAGTGGGAGCACGCAGAGATTGAGACCTCTGAGTGTCTGGGCTGATTTCTGCCTCTGTCTGCCTCAGGAAGATTTGCTGTTCACTCTGCCCGTGATCCCTGTGTCCCCCACTGAAAGCAGAAATAAAGAAAACAATGGAGTGGGGAAAAGTTCTCCCTGTTCTTTCTGTGCCACGTGCAAAGGGAGGTTGGGGAGTTATCAGGGCAGCCCCACTGGCTCCGTGGCAGAGGAGGCAGCAGGGGCAGCTCTGGGGAAGGTCCCAGCTCCTGCTCCCCGCACAGACCCACAAATCCAGGTCCCAGCTCCTGCTCCCCACACACAGCCCCTGTTTTTGAGGAGCAGATGCTGTGGCAGTGTGCAGCTAACCTGTCCCACAGTCAGCTGGAGCTGTGTGACCTTGGAGAGCCCACAGCCTTTGGAACATGGACACAGGAACTGTCAGCTGCAAAAACCTTTACACAGCATCACATCTCCCTTCAGGATTTGTGTGTGTGAGGTGGAACTGCACATCCCAGTAAAAATCACATTCACACCATGTATTGACCAATTTACACCCCTCCACCCCATCTTTCCTTCCCTTTCTCTCTTCCTGAGGGTCTCTGGGCCTGCAGTTCTGCTTTTCTGATCAGAGTCCTCTCATTAAACTCGCCAGGTCATGGTTTAAAGTTTCCCCCATAGATCAGATCTCATCACTTGTGTCTCTGGCTCTGCAGGTTGTAAAGCCCTGGAGGCCTTGCTGAAAGTGCTGGTGGAGCTTCAGGATGAGCTGCTTTATCAGTACCCAGGCACGAGGCACCTGGTGGATGGAAAGCAAGCAAAAGCTGAGAGGTAAATGCAAAAAAGAGATAAAATCTTCCCGAACCCTTTGTTCTCCAGCAGGCAGGACAATGCCCGGCCCTCCTGAGCACCCTCACCCTGCTGCTCTCTCAGGTGCTGCTGGGCCTGGGTGACAGACACTCTGTTATTTGAATTCTTTGTGGGAAGTCTGGTTTGGAATATTTCTGATTATGGAACAGGGCCTAAATGGGGCTTTTAACAGAACCATCAGTGTGGAGGGGCCAGCAAGGATCCCACATTGCCTTGGGGAGGGACAGGGTGTTCATCCTGAGTGCTCTTGTTCCAGTGAGGATGAAATCCTGAGCAGCAGCGATGAGGAGCCAGTGGAGAAGGCTCAGGAGAAGAGGAGGAGGCTCCCCAAGAGGAAGCTGAAGTTTGAGGAGTATCCTGAGTTCATAGCCAAGCGCTACAGGGACTTCAGGAGCTACAGGAACAGTACCCTGCAGAAGTGGCACGACAAGACCAAGCTGGCAACTGGCAAAATGGGCAAGGCAAGGCCTGGTTTGTGTGTGCTGACATGGCTCCCATGGAGCAGGGATCTGGGGAACGAGTCCATACTGAAAAAGGGGAAATTTGGGTGGGGTACATGGAATAAATTCTTCCCTGTGAGTGAGGGGAGGCCCTGGCACAGGGTGCCCAGAGCAGGTGTGCCTGCCCCATCCCTGGAAGTGTCCAAGGCCAGCTTGGATGGGGCTGGGAGCAACCTGGGACAGTGGGAGGTGTCTCTTGGTAGCTTCTGTGTCTTCTCAACCAGACATCCCCTCACATCCAATAATCTCCAGGAAATTGTCACTCTTTTGCTGCAGGAGCTGTTTGTGGTTCCTCCCAGAAGCAGGGCCCTCTGAGGCTCTCCTCCTCCATGAAGTGTAGGCTTTAATACAGTGTGTAATCATTTCACCCAGAGATCCAGGCTCTCCTCACATCTCTGAGTTGGTGTTAATCACGGAGAAGTTAATCTGAGCCAGAACAGCAAAGGCACTTTATAAAGCCAGGCATCAACTCGCCTCAGGTCGGGAAGGGCGAAACAAATAAAAAACGCTCCCAGCAATCCCTGCACTGAGCTGACATGGGGACACAGAGCGAGGAGAGGCTGTGTGTGTGTGTGTGTGTGTTGTCTGACAGTGCTTGGTGCCCTGCAGGGGTTTGGAGCCCTGGAGCGCTCGGTGCTGGCGCAGATCGAGCACGTGCTGCTGGACAGGGAGCGCCTGCTGCGGCGCACGCAGACCCGCCGCTCGCTGTACACCGTGCTGGGCAGGCAGGAGCCCCCGCCCGCCCCAGCCCCTCAGCCCGGGCCTGACAGCGAGGTGAGGAGGGGGAATTTCATTGATTCATCCTGGGGAACTCTGCAGAGCTGGTGTTTCGTTGATTCACCCTGGGAAACTCGGCGGCGCCATGGGGTGTGCTTGTTTGGGAGCTGGGTGGAGGAGGGTGGCTTCTGTTTGCCATGGAAAATGGTCTCTCTTGGGAGCCACACTTCTCTTTTCCAAGGGAAAATGGTCTCTCTTGGGAGCCACACTTCTCTTTCCCATGGAAAATGGTCTCCCTTGGTTGCTGACACTGGGGTAGCAACCTGAACATTTCCAAACTTTGCTGGGTTTCTCCAAAACTAAAGCTGCCACCAGGGAGGACCGAGCATGCCCTTAGAGCCCCCTTAGGGCCACCTCTGGGCTGATACCAGACCCCAGGAGAATGATTTCACACAGGGGAAATGATTTCTTTTTCGCACAGAAAATGGTCTCCCTTTGCAGCCACACATGCCAATAATAGAGTGCCAAGCCAGAAATTTGCAAATTTCTGAGTGTGGATTCCTGCAGTGTAATGGCCAAGGAAAAACATTTAAATTCTGGTTTTGTGATTATCTCCTGTCCCAGTTCCTGACAGGCTTTCCTGAGCTGGGATTGTGCCCCTGCTGTGCTGCTCATTAAATCTGATTTTTGAGGTAGAGGCAGCAAAACTTGGTTTTCACTCTGCAGTCTTTAACCCAGAAAGTCCCTTTTAAAATCATACTGCATATAACCTACAGAATATGTTAGTAGTAAGCCCTTTATTAATTTAGTATTTAAGAATGAATAAATACTCAATTCTGAGAGATCAGGTAGAATTACTGGACTTGCAAGATGTATTTTTGCCATTGCATTAAAAATATCTGTAGTATTTTGCCAGAAAGACTTTGCACAGTCCTATTTATTTCCCAGTAAAGGCATCATAAATCTATTCTGGCATTGGCAGCGTTTCTGCCTTGCCTTTAAATGTATTCCTGCTCCTTAAAAGCTGGTTATGTTGGGAATTTTTCCCCATTCCTCCATATCATCAAGTGTGTTTACAAGCTGCTGCAGGTGATGTCTCTGGAGCCAGGGACAGAAATGTGCACATGTGAGCTCTCAGTGTTCCCTTGATGCTTGCAGGAAGTCCTCCCTGCCTCAGACTCCAACAGGCACCTGAAGGACATTGATGAGGAGATATTTGATGATGATGACTTTTATCACCAGGTAGGTGATGCTGAATGTGTGTTGCAGTTACGGCTCCAGTTGGGTTTTAATGCTCACAGAGAAAATGCAGTTGGTTCTGGGCTCTGTATTTCTCTTTACCTGTAAAACTCAGGTACCTGTTTTAGCACCCACAATCTCTGCAGGTCCCTCAGGGCACTCTGCTCTCAGTTTTTGCTCTGGGGCTGTGTGAGTTTGGAGTTGTCCTGTGGGTGTGAGCTTGCAGGAGCTGTGCCTGTTCTCCCTGGGGAACAACACAGGAGAAAAAGCTCTGAATCCTCTCTGTTCTCTGTGGGCAGAGCCCCCTTAGGAAAAACAATCCCAGAGCATCCTCAGGAGCACTGAAAGTTGTTCTTGTCTCAGCCTAAACCATCTCGTTCACCTGCTGAATGGGAGAGCTCCTGGGCTGCTCCAGCGCTTCCCTTGGAACTGGGCCAGCTTGGATCCAGGCCAGTTATTCCTTTATTTGCAGAATTCTTAGAAGCAAGTAATCTGCACCCAGTGCAGGGAAACACTGTGTTTGTAGCTCATTTAATGAAGACAGTGCCAGCTTTGTGAGAACTGGAATTGTCACACACTGAGGAATATGTCACTGTAAGCCCTTCCCAGTGTGTGACACCTCTGCCTGCTTTGGTGATCCACACAGAGCCTGACCTCCAGGACTAAATAAATATCATTTTATCACTGGAAAGACAGATTTTTAAAAATTTGAATAATTATTAGAGTGGCCAGTAAAGTTCTAGGGGAGTAGGAGAGAGCTGTTGCCATGTGAGAATGCCAGTGGTGATGGGACAGGACAGGAATCCGTGTCCTGTTGGCAGCAGGGATTGAAGATAAATCCTAATAAAGATAAATCTTTTGAGATAATACTGAGGTGGAATTTTGGGTGCAAGTGGCCCGGCAGCCCAGCTTTGGAGGCAAATTGGACCCTCAGAACACAGAAGAAGTGAAGTTGGAGTAACAAAATCATGGAGAGGAGAAACAGCTAAGGTTGACAGTCCAAGGACCTGTGCAGAGAAGGTGCTTCTTGGCCATGAAATGTTAATTTTTAAAAAAGAAAACAGCAATGGATGAGTGTCCCCATCTTTCCCTCTAATAACTGTAACTGTGCTAAATGGTGATTTCAGAAATATGAGCAGGCCCAGCTTAGCTTCTCCCCTCCCTGGTTAATTGGGGTGCTGGGGTTAATCTAAATTAAAACTTAAACTAATAGAGGTCATTGAGGGAAGAGAGTCACCTGAGTAAAACAAATGGCTCTGCCAGGCACAGCTGTATCTTGGCCATTTCCCAGGAGGGAGGTGGCAGCAAATTGGAGCAGTTTGAGGCGCGGGCAGAGGTGAAGGATGGGTGACAGGGGCTGGGATCCAGATTGCCTTCCCTGCTGCTCCAGCTGCAGGGGCAGCCCCAGCCAGCAGCATCTGGCAGCACAGGCAGCCTTGGGTGGCACCTGGGGAGCCCAGGGGCTGGAAATGCAGTGCTGAGGCTGGAGCAGGCTTTAATCACCTGGCAGGGCTTGGCAGCAGCTCCGACAGCCTCCGCCGGCCTCGTACATCACAGGCAGACATCTGCTGAGCAGCCAGGCGGCTGCACATCCATTTCCCCTCTTGCTGGGCTGTTTCTGGTCCCCCTCCCTCCTCCTCTCCTTCCCTTCCAGCCTTTCCCTCTCCTCCATGCCCAAAATGCATCCTGTGCAGATCCCAGGGGTTTGGGGTGCCCTGGTTGGTGTTCTGTGCTCGGTGGGGTTTGGCAGAGACTGGAGCCAGATCAGGGATGAGTCTGAGGAAAATGGCTCTGTGTTTTCTGTCACCTCCCAATTAAATTGGATTCATAAAGTGCTTTCCTTTATTTGTCAGGGCGCTGAGCTGGAGCTGAACATTGCATTGAGAGCAGGGAGAGCAGAGCACAATGGGGCTGCCAGGGCCCTGAATGGCTCTGCTTTCCCTGGGTCAGAGCTGAGCGCTGCTTTGTGTGTGGGGGATTGCATGTGGGCATGGAAATACACCCTGGGAGGGAGCTGCTCCTGCAGCAGCGATCAGCAGCAGGCTCAGGGTGCTCACAACCCCTGACCCCTGTGCATAACACTGATTGCAGCCTGCATTTCAGCACCTGCCTCTTCCTTCCTATGGAAATCTGCGTCCAGGCTTGCCTTGGCATCCTTTTCACTCTTCTAAATAGCATTTTATAGTTATTCATTTGTTTTGATTACTGCTTAAAAGGTAAACATTCAGATAAAGAACTGCACTGGAAATCAGCTTCCTCTATGTGTCAGTGTGAAATTAGGCAAGTAAAAATGAACCAGATTTGATGAATGTGCACAAGTTAATGATAACAGAATAAGTAGTTACACTGTTTTATTATAGATTATAATAAAAAGCTCTTTAATTAATCTGTTTTTCTTCTGGAAAAACCATTTTCTTGTCCAGGTCTAATATTCAGTAAAATTCAGCAGGTGGGTCTGGTGGAATTTTGTGATGATTCAGGATTTAACTCTCTTCTGCCTGTTCATCCCACTTTGCCTTTTCTCCTGCTCCTCACTCGTTTTATAAGCAGTTTCAGTTTTTATTGTGATGGCCCATATTGGATGGTGATGGAAAGCTGAGCTGAGTAATGCAGTGAAATATTTTTATTTGGGTGGGAATAGTTAAAGTGTTTCAGAAGCTCCTCATTACTGGCAGCAGGGAGAGGCCGGAGGTTTCCTTTTCCTTGAAATCCTCCTTCATGCATGGTTTTTAGGGAAGAAAAAGGCTTTTTATTTTTAGGAGTCATATTTACGCAGGATTCATCACAGCTGATATTGCAGCATTAAGACTTAAAATTCCAGCCTGCTACCAGGGAGCTGCTGCTGTGACATGCTACAGTGGAGATTTTATTGTTAGCTTGAAATACTCCTCTGGTAAAGGAGAGAGTGGAAATTGGTTTATTTCCAACAGGAATTAGGTTAGTGTTCATATGCTAAGTGTTCCACTGGTAGCAGCTCTTCCCAGAACAAATGTTCATCACTCCTGGCAGCAGGTATGCCTGGGGAGAATTGGGAATATCCATAATCCCTTCTTGCCTCTGCTCTCTCTGGTTTGGGGCATTTTGTCACAGCTGTGGGCACCAGAGTGGAGAGGGAGCACCCAAGGAATCACCAAATCCTCCCAGGGGGGGTTCTCAGAGCTGGGATTTACCCCAAAATCAGCATCCTTAACCCCCCCTGTGTGCTTTTCTGGAAAATTTCACTGATGGAGATTTCCCTGGTGTCCCCAGCAGCTCCTGGGGGACCCTGGTGTCCTCTCCCAGAATTTGGCAGTGCCCTAAACAAGGAGTCACCAATCCAGAGAAGTATTAAAAGTCAATAATGGTGAGCAATAGAGAAGGCTGGCTTTGTGACAAGCTGGTTTACCTTAATTAAACCGGTGAGTGATTAATATGGACAGCTGATCTTGTGGCTTTAATTAGATGCATTTAGAGTTTTGTGTGAATAAGAGATGTCTCGAACCATCCCACAGGTTAATGGCAATACAATACTCTTATCACAGGCATGTATCTTTCAAATGGCTGGCTGGATGGTTAATAACACATTTTAAAGCTTGATTTGGAGCTTCTCTTAATGGGTTCTTCGAAAATAGGCAAATCTGTGCATTTACACAAACCTGAATTTGAATAAAATGGGCTTTAAAAAGAGACTGCCCAATGATTTCCACTTGCATTTTATTAAATATAAGAACAAGTTTTTAAAAAGCATTTCAAGGGGATTTAAAATAATATTTGAGCTGCAACTTAAATTTTCTCTGGTAGAAATCCAAATGTTGTTACAGGGCATCTGTAGATGGACTTCTTTTTAAATTTGATTTGCTCTGTAAGGTGTAAAACAAGCCAGCCTTTTGTCAGAGGCTGATTTCAGCTCTCCTTAGCTCTTTGTCTCCACTGGCAATTCTTAGGGCTCTGCAAATCACAAAGGTCAGTGAGTGCAGCATTAGAAACACTGATAGATAGTGCATGAAAATGAGACCTGGCCTCTACAATGAAAATTGACCTCTAAAATGAGAAATGAGCCCTGGAACAACACCCTGATGGCATTTCTGACTGTGCCCAGTGGGTTTGGTGTGCATCTCTGCCTGGCACCGAGGGGAGCTGCTTTGGGGGATTCTGTAGGGAACCCCATCCAGCAGGGAGTGCTGCTGTGTGCCAGGAGAGCTCCTGCTGCAGAGCCCGAAGCAAAACCAAGATCCCTGACACTTCCCTCTGCTCCCATGGCTTGTCCTGGTGCTCCCAGCTTGGGCAGGAGCAGCTGGCACTGGGAGCTGAGCTTGGGATGGAGCTGTTCTTCTTTGTGCTGCCCTGGGACACTGAGCTGAGCCTGGGATGGAGCTGTTCTTCCCTGTGCTGCCCTGGGACACTGAGCTGAGCCTGGGATGGAGCTGTTCTTCCCTGCACTGTGTGTGTGCCCTGGGACACTGAGCTGAGCCTGGGATGGAGCTGTTCTTCCCTGTGCTGTGTGTGTGTGCCCTGGGACACTGAGCTGAGCCTGGGATGGAGCTGTTCTTCCCTGCACTGTGTGTGTGCCCTGGGACACTGAGCTTTCCCCAGTTCAGGGCAGAGGTGAAGGAGGGAAAGCAAAGCAGGATCCTCTTTCAAATCAAAGCCTTTTGATGCTGGGATTGCCTAAGTCTGTCTTCACACATCAGGGCTTAAGGCTGATGGTGATTTACTCACACTTCCTAGTTAATAATTAGACATTGGGAGACACCATATATCACTCCTAATGGAATATATGGGGTCTGATGAGAGTTTTCTGTTTTGGCTAATAAATTTGAAGCAGAATCGCCAGGCTTAATGAAATATTACCATTTGGGAAGTGCTTTAAGTCTTGTGCTGGGAAAACAGTGTTGCTTTATTCAGTAAATGAATTTATCATTCACTCTGTGTCCCAGGCTCTGGCTGGCTCTGGAGCAGGGGCTGGATGCAGGACTCTGAACCAGAAAGCAGAAAACAGAAAACTAATCAAATCCTTAAAGACCAAAGGCAGCCAGGCAGGCCTGGCCTGACTTTTTCAGTGGTAGCCTCTGGCTACATCCACTTTTATTTTAGTAACCATTGTTAGCATGATTTATAACCTCAGCTCGGAGACTTTTGCTATTTAGATGTAACAAGATGCTTCACAGCTTTTATTTCCATTTCCTAATTTCCCTCTTGCTCCTGCTTTTTTCTTTTTCTTTTTTTTTTTTTTAATTTACTTCTCCCTCATGTTTGCCTCGCTCTGCTCTCCAGGCAGTGCCCCCAGTGCCACAGCTGGGGTGCCCTGAAGAACATCTGGAGCACAGAACTGGTTCAGGGTTAGGTGCCAGCCCCAAAAATGCATCTTGGAATTGTGGAATGGTTTGGGTTGGAGGGAACCTTAAAGCTCATCTTGTTCCACCCCATCACAGGAACACCTTCCACTGTCCCAGGCTGCTCCCAGCCCTGCCCAGCCTGGCCTTGGGCACTGCCAGGGATCCAGGGCAGCCACAGCTGCTCTGGGCACCTGTGCCAGGGCATCCCCACCCTCCCAGCCAGGAATTCCTTCCCAAAATCTCATCTAACCCTGCCCTCTGGCACTGTGTGGGCACAAGTGGGGCTCTCCATGGTGCTGCAGGATTTCTGTGCCAGCAGGAGGAGCCCAGCCCTGCAGGAATTGCCCTGCTGCTGTTGCCCAGGGTGGCTGTGTGTGACACCCAGGGTCAGGATCAGAGCACACAGGAGGAGAAACCACCCTGAGCTCTCTGCACCACTTGTGGCTGCTGCTCCAAGCCTCCCTCCCACCTTGCTTCTGACAGAATATTGACTGGAAAGCAAGATCCCATTTCTGCTTAGCCTTGAGGGCAGCTGTTTGCAGAGTGGCAGTGCTACACAGGTTTGCTGTGTCGTGTGTCTGTGTAACACTGGATTTGGATCTTGTATTTAGCTGCCAGAAGTGACTGTGATGAAGTGGCAGAGATAAACTGATAGATTGGGTGCCAGAAAGATGTTGGGAATCAATCAGATAAACAGGGCAGAGAAGTTGCTTGCTGTTTTCTAGTGATAATAAACCAGTGGCCTGGCTCCTGGAATTTTTAAATGTAATTGCTGTGGTAATAATCTCTAAAAATAAGCAAGTAGGAAAAAAAAAAAGTAGTGGCAGGTTTTTAATTATGTTTGAGTCACTCTTTTTTTCTGATAATGTGGTGTATGCCTCGAAGGAGAGGAAGGTACAGGGTGGAGGAAAAGCATCCTGGAATTGCCTGGAATTGCCTGGATTGTGGTTCCAGGTGGGCCAGTTCCAGGTGTTTCTGAGCTGTACCTTCACTGGCAGGTGTCCATAAAGCAGTTTGCTCCCCTCAGTTTTGGAGGGTTTATTTCTGTTCCTCGTGTTGATGCCTTGGCCAGTGCCCAAGGCACAGCAGGCACGGTTTGCAGAGAGTGGTGATAAACACACAGCCCCAGTCAGGGATCAGGAAAGGCTCCTCACAACATCCTCTGGCTGCAGGAGGCAAGGAGGACAAACCCCAGCCCTCAGGGCATGAAAAGAAATAGAAAAGGCTGCCTTAGCATTCCTGCTGGAGCCACAAAAGGGATTTTGCTGTGCTGTTCTCTGAGCGAGCATCACTGCCCAGCTTCTGTTGGGGAATTGTTTCACTTCCCCTGCCCTTCCCCAGCACTGGGGCTGAGCTTTTCCTGCACGTTGCCCCATTACACCTGGGGCAGCTGGCTGCACAGCTGTGCTTGTTTCGGGTGGGTGTTCCTTGTTGCAGGTGGGTTTTGTTGTTCCAGGTGGGTTTTGTTGTCTCAGATGTGTTTCTGTCTCCCCTGCAGCTCCTGCGAGAGCTGATCGAGCGCAAAACCACAGCCCTGGACCCCAACGACCAGGTGGCCATGGGCAGGTGAGCGAGGGGCTGGGACAGCCCTGTCCCTTCAGCACAGCTCAGTGCAGAGGGCACAGCGCCCAGTTCAGCTGGGAGGAGCCACGGTGCCGTTATTCAGGAAATCCTCCTCTCCAGCAGAGGTTGTGGATCACCAGTCTGGCTTGAAGCTGTGTGTGATCCTCCGGAGGTATTTCCAGGTTTGGTCCAGGTGTTTCTGTCTCCCAGTGGCACAAAAACTGCCTGCCCACTGCTGAAGTTTGGCTTTGGCTCTTTGTTAACTCAGCTTTGCTGTTGTTTGAGCAGAATAATCCTTCTGACATCAGTTCAAGCAATTCCTGTGTATCCGTCCTGTAAAAAAGGATTCTGTACAATGAAAATGCACAATGAATGCTCCCTGCATGCAGAACTAAAATATAATTTAATGCAGAGAAGCTCTTATTTCTCTGTTTAATTCTAGAGTTAGAAAGTAAAGAAGCTTCCAAATGCCACTTCATGAGCACTGTACATTGAAATAGCCACGGGCTCCAATTCAGGAAAATGTAAAAGCCAAGGAAAGCTGGAGTTGGGCTCTTCCCTGAAACAATTTTGGGGGGTTTCTATAGGGAGAGGAAGAAAATGCATCAAGAAATGTTTTGATGGTGAAACAACTTTTCTCCTTGTAAAATACCACCCAGATTTTAGTGCAATGTCAGACTTATTTTGTGTACGTCTGGAATATTATGGAAAGCTATTCACTATGATTTAACACGATATAGACAAAATTACATTTAAGTGGTGATTGCATTGTACATTTATCTGACTTTACAATAAAATAGATTACAGTAATTAAGATTATATTAAGATTGCAGTAATTGGATTTTGTTAGATTTTTTCCCTGATGTCGAGTTTCCATTGTATAAATCAGGTGAGATGACTCTCATTCCAGTTTAAAAAAATATTTATAACCAGGAGAAGTTTTTCCCTGCTGGAAACTTCTTTGACTTGAGGAAGTTGTGGTTGGGAAGTGGAGCTTTTAATGCAGTTGGGGATCAGAGAGTGTTTCTGGGAGTGTTGAGTGGCTCTGAGCTGTGCTCCTGCTGTTCTGCATTCCCCAGGCAGTGGCTGGCCATCCAGAAGTTACGGAGCAAAATAAAGAAGAAAGTGGACAGGAAAGCCAGCAAAGGGAGGAGAATCCGGTGAGTGACACCTTTGCAAGCACACACAAATCCTCATTTTGGAAGAGAAAAATCTGACAGCTCTGGGTGTGTTTTACCCCAGCTGGCTCTGGGGGTCTGGGCTGATTTGTGGCTTGGAGGAGATTTCCTGCTGTGGGCAGCCAGGGGGGAATGCTGGTGTTCCTGGAGCCTGGAATCAGTGGGGAATGCTGGTGTTCCTGGAGCCTGGAATCAGTGGGGAGTGCTGATGTTCCTGGAATTAGAGCCTGGAATCAATGGGGAATGCTGGTGTTCCTGGAGCCTGGAATCAGTGGGGAATGCTGGTGTTCCTGGAGCCTGGAATGCTGGTGTTCCTGGAGCCAGGAATCAATGGGGAATGCTGGTGTTCCTGGAATTAGAGCCTGGAATCAGTGGGGAATGCTGGTGTTCCTGGAGCCTGGAATCAGTGGGGAATGCTGGTGTTCCTGGAGCCTGGAATGCTGGTGTTCCTGGAGCCTGGAATCAGTGGGGAATGCTGGTGTTCCTGGAGCCTGGAATGCTGGTGTTCCTGGAGCCTGGAATCAGTGGGGAATGCTGGTGTTCCTGGAGCCTGGAATGCTGGTGTTCCTGGAGCCTGGAATCAATGGGGAATGCTGGTGTTCCTGGAGCCTGGAATGCTGGTGTTCCTGGAGCCAGGAATCAATGGGGAGTGCTGATGTTCCTGGAATTAGAGCCTGGAATCAATGGGGAATGCTGGTGTTCCTGGAGCCAGGAATTAGAGCTTGGTGGATGCAGCCTGGCAGCATTGCCCCACTCAGGTCTGTGGAAACACCAGGGAAAGGTGCTCACACGTCCCTGAGCCTTTTGGGGCTGGAATTTCCAGAGAGAGCCAACAAACCCCTCTGGTGCAATTTGTGTTTCCTGACTGAGATGTGGGCAGCACCTCCAAGGGAAGATGTGCAGGAACACCTCAGGTAAATCTCTGTTTCTCCCCGAGTGCCAGCTGGAACTTGGTGTCAGGTCTCTCTTGGTAACTCACATCGCAGCTCCCTCCTGTCTGAACCATTTCCCTCCTGGGTCACTCACTGGGCTGAGCTCAGAGCTGGAATCTCCCTCGTGGGGAGGGAGGCAGCCCTGAGAGCAGGAGGTGTTTCCCCTCTCTGAGCTCCCTGAGATCAGCATGATTTGTGGGGGAGGAGGGAGGATGCTGAAAAGCTGCTCTGCTTCCTGAAAAATCCAGCACATTAACCATCCTTTGTGAGTAAACTATAAATCCTGACTTGAGATGGCATCTGATAGAAAGTCACTGGAGTCAGGCTGGGTCTGGCCTGGCATAGCAATTTTTAAGATAGATGTCATAAGATAATTTATTGAAAGAGGGAAGAGCTACTTTGTTGGCCTGAAAAGCCTATAATTATTGACTATCAATATTCCTTTCTGTCAGCATCACACATAATTGGATATATTCAGGATTCAGTCAAAACTCCTGACACCATCACACAAGTGAGGCAGCCCCATGAAGCTGCAGGAGTGATGGGGAAGCTCTCCTGGTGTGCAGGCTGTGCCCCCAGCAGCCCTGGGGGAGCAGCTCTGACACCTCAGGTGCCTCTTTTTGCATTTTAGTTAAAAGTTGTGCTGACCCTGCGGGGAAAATAACAATAAAAGCAAGAAAGGCTCATAGTGTGTGCTTGGGATTGAGGTGCAGTTGAGCTCCTGCATTTTCAGAATTGGGCAGTGGAGCCCAAATGGGTTTGTAAATAGTTGGTGCTTCCACTGAGGGACTTGGTGTCACCCCAGACAGATCCCTGACCCTCTGTTCTTCTCTAAAATTGGGACAGCACTGCTTACATGGGGGACTTCGAGGTCCTGGAGAACCAAATATTTAATACCAAGTTTCATGTGTCTCCTTAATAATTCCTTTTTAGCAAAGCTTCAGTATTACAGCCTGTTTGGGTGCAGTGTAGGGGCTGAGGATGTTCAGGTGCTTCCAGAAGCAGTCAGTCTGCCCCTGGGCACGAGGGAAATTGGGGCATTGAGAGGGGAAATGAATTAATCCAAAAATCAGACTTCAGAGAGCTGCAGGTGGCTGTGGAGGAGGGATGTGTGCACACCTTTCTCCTGGCAGTGTTTGCTGAGCTCTGCTGCTGCAGGCTGGGGTGTCCTTCTGTGCACTAAGTGAAACATTTCCCATTTCAAATGGATTATTTCCCATTGCACTGGGGTTTTCCAAAAGCAGCCAGCTGTGTGCAAACAGCTGGGGCTGAGTGGGCAGGAGTTCTGGGTGCCAGGCTGTGCCCACAGCACGGCTTGTGCCTGCTCCTGGCTCCATCCCTGCCATGCCAGGACAAGGCTGCAGGGTGCCCCAGTGTGAGCTGGGCATGGGGAGCCCTCTGAGCTCAGCATCCCCAGGGGCTGTTCCTGCACTGCAAGCAGCAGCAGGGCAGGGGTGGCAGAGGGGGAAGCTGATGCTGGGCAGATGCTGGTGAGTCCTGCTGCCTGCTGTTTGTCAGGCTCTGTAAGTAGCAGCAGCCTGGATGAGCCCTCAGGCTGGGGCAGGCAGTGCACACAGTGCCTGGGTTTGGCGTCCCCGCCCTTGGACACTGGGTTTAAAACCTCCTCAGTGCCCTGTTAAATTTAATGTCAGGCTTTTGAATATAAATAATGAAGTCCTTGCCCAGGGTGGCAGATGGGAGGGGATTCTCTCTCTGGGCAGCTGCAGCAGTGTTTTGGTGGTGGGAACATGCCCCATCTCTGCACAGCCCTTGTCCTGTCCCCTCCTTGCCTGGGTTTCCATGCTCCATGTGCAGTTACCAGGGTGGGAGTTCCCAGCTCTGGAAATGGCTCCAGAGTGGGGTTTGCTGTCCTTGGGGGCTCTGCAGAGCACAGAGCAGGGCAGGAGGGGGTGCAGATGGATGCTGCAGTGGCAGGGAGGGGCTGTCTGTCTGTCTGTCTGTCTGTCTGTCTGGGGCTGCTGTCCTGTCCCTGGCTGGGATGAGAGGGGATTTCTGTCCCTCATTGTTCAGCAGAGGGGAGCAGGGGAATTGCCAGCTCCAGCTGGTGATTTCTCAGGGATCAGCCCCCAGGAGAGCCCTGCTTTCCCCTGGGCTGTTCCTGCTCAGCATTTGCTCCTCTGAGCAGTTCCTGATGCTCTCCCCAGGTTCCACGTCCACAGCAAGCTGGTGAGCTTCATGGCACCTATTGACCCCTGCACAATGAATGATGATGCCAGGTGAGTAAGAGATTAATTATGCTGCTCAAATGGCTCCATGACAGCGTGGTATTGACCTGTTCTTCAGCCTGTCACCCTCTCCAGTCCTTCTTATCAGCTCCCCATTTGTCACTGGCATCACAGCCTGGGTGTCTTGGTCACATCTGTCCTGGCAGCCTGGCTGAGCCTTCACTCTGTAATTACTGTGGTACAAACCAGAAATTGTCATAAATCTCAGCACCCAGGGTTTGATTCCTGCTTTAGAGCTCCTAATTTCAAATTAGGAGTTCTAATTCCAAAAGTCCTAAATGTTGAAATTTCCCCATTTCATGGAATCAGTTTGGGAATACACAGCTCAGCCACTTGGTGTCTTCAGGTGGAATCAGAGCTTAAAAAGAGCTTCTGTTCTAACAGAAATGGCAACTCCTATGTTCTGGTTAATGTGCATTTTCTTAGCTCTGTTAATAACTGCAATAGTTCTCTCAAGATTCACTCAGGACTTTTATGTTGCTTGTGTTTATCTCTGTTTAAAGAGTACAGAATTTTATTGGGAGGCTGTAAGGTTTTAATGTGGTAATTAGTAAAGAAAGCACTAAAATGGAATTCTGTGCATGGTTTGCAGACAGCTCTCCCACATCCCCACCCATATTTCTCCAGCAATACTTTAAACCCAAATCTCCACAAGCTGAGCAGTTTGTGGGAAGGAGGTGGAATAATTTTTCCAGTGAATGGATGGAGAAAGCTTGAGAAACATCTTTCCCCTGGGTTGTGGAACATGTTTGTGCTTTGTGAGGGAGAGATGTCATTTGTCTGTTTGTGAAAAGGAAACCAAATACCTGCTGCCTTTTGGGGGATTGCAGAGGCTTATGGATGAGGAGTTTTGTGTCCATAGCACCTGTGCTGTTTCATCTCTCTCTGAGTTGCTTTACTCTGGGCTTTTTTCTCTCCTTTTTTTTCTTTTTCAAGTGAGAGCAAAGCCCAGCTGCTCTGATTTTCCAGTATTGTTTGGATCCTCTCACCACAAAAGGAAATGCGGTGGCTCCAAGCTGTTCCTCCAGCCATGCAGTCCCAATGTTGAGCTTGAATTTCCCTCTGCTGTGATTTAAAACAATAATTTCATATCCTGTTCCAGGTGGGAACAGATTCTTGCCTCCTCTTTGCAGCAGCCCTTGCACATTTGAGTGGGAATTCTTGTGAAGAGCTGGGTGTTAATTTTTGTCTTCCCCTCAGTTTACACCATTTGTGTTTGCATCCATACACTGAACACATCCCAAACACTGCAGTGGGAGTCTGAAAATCAGCTTTTTGTGGGTGTTTTGGTTCAGCCATCCCCACATGAAGAGATCTGCTGCTCTCAGTCATTGGTTTGAAAATCAGAGCTCACTTCTCTGGCATGAGCCACGAGATCTCTGTCCAGCACACAGCTGGACCACACAGGGCAAGAAGAATTCAGCATCTGCAGGTGAATTAAGCAGAGCAGGCCAGGCCTGTGTGCTGCAGAGGGGAGCAGCACTGATAACAGCTTCCCTCTGTGGCAGAGGCAGGTAATTCTGTTGTTGGCAAGTGGGAATTACAGGATGGGAAATGCACATGTGCACTTCACAGAGGTGTGACTGTGCTCTGAGCCAGTTTTATTTGTTTCTGCTCAGGCACTTCAAATGCAAGACCCCAAATTAATTCCCCTGTGCTGAGCAGGGCACTGAGCTGTGCTGGGAGGGGTTTCCCGGTGCTGGGTGTGAAATGGGTCTGTCTGTCTGTCTGTCTGTCTGTAGCTGTGACACACACACCCCCAGCTCTGTCCCTGTGAGCACTCCACAGCCAGGGCTGGTGTCAGATCACTGCAAACTCTGATGAACATCCTCATTTCACCTCTGGAGGACAGTGGCTTGCAGGGAGAGACATCCTCTAAGGACACAGATGTTTGGTCCCAACACCTTTATCTCCCCAGACAGCTCAGGTTATTGTGACAGGTAAAACAAGATTGTGCAAATATGCAACAGTGATCTAATCAGCTGGAACAACAGCAGTATTTTAACTGGCACTACCTTTTAACAGCATCATTAAGGGCTCTCATTACTCTTTTATTAGAGGCTCACTCTATTTCTTATCAGATTACAGAATGAACATAACTCATGGCACTGATTTGATCTCTGTTAAAGAGGATTACAGCTGTGCATTAGCTGGGATTGACATGGTTTGTAATTTGCTGTTGATACCCAGGCTGGCAGTGTGACCCCTCCCCACAGCCCGGGGGGGAGGGCACCCATACATCATCATTAACCCTGGCACGGGGCTCTGAGCAGCCCAGGGGCCTCTCCTGCAGGAGGGACAGGCAGGACATGAGGGACACTCTGCAATTCCTGCTGGGGGTGTGCAGGTGGGGAATGGATCCCATTTTGTGCAGGCTGGGTGCTGTCACCGTGATCACAGGGGTCTGAGGGTGAGGGAAGGGATGAGGATCTGACTCCATGCTTCAGAAGGCTGATTTATTATTTTATTATATATATTATATTAAAACTGTACTGAAAGAATAGAAAAAAGGGTTTCATCAGAAGGCTGGCTAAGAGTAGCAAAAGAAGGAATGAATAACAAAGGTTTGTGTCTCAGACTCTCTGTCTGAGCCAGCTGACTGTGATTGGCCATTAATTAGAAACAACCCCATGAGACCAATCCCAGATGCACCTGTTCCATTCCACAGCAGCTGATAACCATTGTTTACACTTTGTTCCTGAGGCCTCTCAGCTTCTCAGGAGGACAAATCCTAAGGAAAGGGTTTTCCATCAGAGATGTCTGTGACAGGGTTGTGCCTCAGCAGTGGATCTCGTTGGGGAGGAGGAATGTGCATCCTCTATGAGCCAGATCAGAGGGGATCAGGGGCTCTGCTGGGGCTGTGTCAAACCAAGCAGTGTCCCCACAATGTGAGGTGGGAATCCCTCCCTTCAATGCCCCATCCAAGGGCAGGAAATGTCCCCCTGTCCCCAGGGCCCTGCTGGGAGCCTGAATTCACAGCCAGATCATCCCCCTGCCTTTGGATTAGAGCCTTTCCCTGCATCCAGGCAGGCCCTGTGCATTCTGTGCATTTTCCCAATCAGCATTCTCCCTTCAAGTGCAGCTGCTTTGTCACAGCAAGCAGAGGGGGGTACATAGCAGGAAATCCTGGTATTAAAAGATTAATTTACTTATATGACATAGGAGTTTAATAAAAAAAAAAAATTAAAAAAAAAAAGGTTGGTGAGATACCAGCCTTTAACTTGGCTCACTTTGTACTTGGGGTATTAAAACACATGAGAGCAGATTAATGGAGGAATTTGGGCTCTGCGATTGTCAATCCAGGGGGTTCAGCACCACAGAATTCCTGGGAGGAAGCAAAGCCCTTCCTGCAGGGAGAACTGAGCCAGCAGCTCCTGCTGCATGGTACAAACCCCAGGGACCCTGTTGGTGTGGGGAAAATGCATCCAGGTCTGCCCAGGAGCAGGGAGGATGGAAAGGATGTCCTGCTTGGGAAATAAGGGGAGGGCAGGCTGGAACCAAAGGAAAAACCTTATCCTGTGAGACTGAGCCTGCCTGGGGGCGTCCTGAGGCACCACAGCTTTGCAATCCCAGAATCCCAGGCTGGCTTGGTTGGGAGAGAGCTTCCAGCCCATCCAGTGCCATCACCACCTCCCTCTGTCCCAGGCTGCTCCAGCCCCAGTGCCCAACCTGGCCTTGGAATTTCCTCTCTCCGTGCCCGATTTTATTCAGAATGCCCCCAGCCTGTGGCTTGGTGAGCCCTGGAGGTGCAGAGTGGCACCCATGGCCCTCCCCAGGGCTTTGGGAAGGGCTGGGCCTGCAGCAGGGGCTGCTCAGCTGCCAGGCTGGATGTGACCCAGCTGGTGGCACTGGGCTGTGTGTGACCCCACTGGTGGCACTGGGCTGAGTGTGACCCCACTGGTGGCACTGGTGGCACTGGGCTGTGTGTGACCCCACTGGTGGCACTGGGCTGAGTGTATCCCCACTGGTGGCACTGGTGGCACTGGGCTGTTTGTGACCCCACTGGTGGCACTGGGCTGAGTGTGACCCCGCTGGTGGCACTGGGTGCACTGGGCTGTGTGTGACCCAGCTGGTGGCACTGGGTGCACTGGGCTGTGTGACCCCCGCTGGTGGCACTGGGCTGTGTGTGATTCCAGTGGTGGCACTGGGTGCACTGGGCTGAGTGTGACCCCACTGGTGGCACTGGGCTGAGTGTGACCCCGCTGGTGGCACTGGGCTGAGTGTGACCCTGCTGGTGGCACTGGGTGCACTGGGCTGAGTGTGACCCCCGCTGGTGGCACTGGGCTGTGTGTGATTCCAGTGGTGGCACTGGGTGCACTGGGCTGAGTGTGACCCCACTGGTGGCACTGGGCTGAGTGTGACCCAGCTGGTGGCACTGGGTGCACTGGGCTGAGTGTGACCCCCGCTGGTGGCACTGGGTGCACTGGGCTGAGTGTGACCCCACTGGTGGCACTGGGTGCGCCCCTCCTGTCCCCACAGCTGATGTTTGACATCCCTGGCAAACACACAGGAGCCTCTGCTATGGAAATTTCCCTCTTAAAAGGGAAAAAAAAAAAATAACCTGTTAAGGGCTGCGAGATGATTTGTCGCTTTTCCTTTGTGAGACAATTTGTCTTCTCCTGCATCAAATCCGTTATGGAGCAGGCAAGCTGTGAAAGGGGGAAATCGTCCTCGGAATATGAGGAGCACGAGGAATGGCTCCCTCTGCACAGGGCGCTCCCAGAGCCTGCCCTGCCCAAACAGCCATCCCAGGCAGCCTGGGAGGCAGCACTGAGGGATGTCCTGGGGAAAGGGGAGCTGCTGGGGTGCCTGTGCTTGCTGGTTCCCTGTGCTTTGTGCTGCTGTGGGAATGGCACTGGGACCAAAACCAGCATGGGAGAGGCTCCCCTGTGTCCCATGGGTGTGAGAATGGCACTGGGACCAAACTCAGGGTGTGAGAGGCTCCCCTGTGCCCCATGGGTGTGGGAATGGCACTGGCACCAAACTCAGCATGGGAGAGGCTCCCCTGTGCCCCATGGGTGTGAGAATGGCACTGGGACCAAACTCAGGGTGTGAGAGGCTCCCCTGTGCCCCATGAGTGTGGGAATGGCACTGGGACCAAAATCAGCATGGGAGAGGCTCCCCTGTGCCCCATGGGTGTGTGGGAATGGCACTGGGACCAAACTCAGGGTGTGAGAGGCTCCCCTGTGCCCCATGGGTGTGTGGGAATGGCACTGGGACCAAACTCAGGGTGTGAGAGGCTCCCCTGTGCCCCATGGGTGTGCCCTGAGCCCAGGGCTGGGCCGGAGGTGAGTGAGTGCTGCAAACCAAGCTCCCCTGGAATTCCTCTTCCTTTCATTTCATTTTTTTGAGGAAAATACTCATTTTTATTGAGACGTTTAAGGCTTCAGATTTGTTTTGTCCTCCTGGTACCTGCTGTGCTTGCTGGGCACTTTAATCTGAATTTCACAGCACTGGACAGAACATTTCACAGAAGGGAGGACGTGGATCATCCAGTGCAGTTCTTCAGGGAATGATCCATGGATTGAACCCCAAATTTGTGTCAGCAGCCCCCTGCTCTGAGCCAGCCTGGCACAGACAGAAAGTTTTCCAAGGAAAGCATCAGCCAGTTCCAGTTTCCATCAGGAGCTGTGATTTCCACAGGTGCTTCTGTTCCATCTTTTCCAGTTTTTGTGAATTAAAAATTCATAGTTCCCAGTGGAGGATGGCGGTAGGAATGGGGACTGTACTCATTTCAGTACTGCTTGTGGCATATTCTAAATTATCTTTTTTTTTTTTTTTTTGGGGAGAAGAAGAGAAGAAGTAAAAGGTATTTGGGAAAAGGCAGAGAAATTGGTTGGAGGGTGTTTTTACTGAGGAGCACAGCAGTGACTGGAGCACTATTGCTATTTTAATAAAAAAGCATCCCCTAGAAACTGAATTTTCCCCCTTAGTATTGTTCTTCTACTGCTTTACAGAACTATATATTTCTATTTTAATAAATATAAATATATTTTACATATAGATAGATACTTAATATATAAATATATTTATACAATATAAATATATTTATATAAAATTATAATATAATGTATAAATATAATTATATTATTTATTTTATATATTCTTTTATTTTTATTTGTTTTATATATTACAATACATATTTTATATATTATTTGTAATATATATATAATATATTTTATATATAAAAATATTTTTAAACAATATATATTTTTATATTTATTTTATATGTAATAATATATATTTATATAAAATATGGTATATATTTATGTTTATAAGTATATTTATATTTATAAATATATTTATATTTTTATATTTTTAAAAGGGGCGTAACATGACTAATTCCACAGAGCAGCCCAGCACTGGCTGCTCCCCTCCCATGTGCAGCTCATGTTTGGTGTCCCCTTGGAGTGTTTGCTGCTGCTGCAGGCGGCCACAGGAGATTCCTGGGGATCTGCTGAGAGTTTTTGGGATTTATATTTTGATGCTTGATGGAGATTTATGAAATGTGCTATTCATATTCATCCAGGGCACTCCTTTCTCCCTGTTGTGCCTGTAAAATGTCTGTGGCAGCTACACCTGGGGCTTGGGGGGACAGGAGCCACTCTCAGCACCTGGGCTGGCTGTAGCTGCTTTTATTTAAACATTTTTGATGCTGTTGCTGACCTGGAAGCAGCAGTGTCCAATGGGGAGGGGCCATCCCTGCTCTGGAAGAGATGCATAAATAATCAAGCCAAGGTTCTCACACACACATGTTTTATGGCAAATGGCTGTGTGGCTCCAGATAATTTTTTCCAGAAACAGGTTTTATGATAATACAGTAAAAATATTAAATTAGAAAATGCCTCACTAAGGGTGATAAAACCTTACTACAGTGGAAATAGGTAATTATCCCCTCTGCAGCCTAAATGACAGTTTAAAAGAAATAAAAATGTTAGTGCTCATTACTTGCTTTTGTGGGTTGCAATAAAGGGTGCGTTAAATTTTAATTCAGGGGAGAGCTCTGGATGGAGCTGTGCTGGGTGGGAGCTGTGCCCAATCCCCTGCCCAGGTGATTCCCTAAATCCCCTTTGCCAGCCCCAGGTACCCCTGGTGTGTCATTGCTGTGGGTGGAGGAGAGAAATTTGATATTTTCTTAACCAAAATCCAAGTTCATTATGCATAGCCTTAAGGGGACTGGAAGTATTAAAATGTGCACTTACCCTGGTGAATTGAGACACAGACAAGGTTAAACCTGGAGGATTGATGAGTTTTGCTCTCTGCATGGTTGGATCCTGCTGAGGGGAGAGGCTGCAGGAGAAAGGGAGCCTGGCTGATGAGGAGAGGGGGGGAAAAGGGTTGGGGTGTTTGATATTTAATATTTGATTTTCAGGGTGAAATGTTTGCCCTGTGTTTGGGTTACCTGATTTCTGTCCTTCTCTTGTCACTGTGCCAGGCTGCCTGTCCCTGCTGTGTCATTGTCCGGAAGTTTCCATTGGGATTTTGCTCCATCCCATTCCTGGGAGGGTGAGGGAACCCCCTGACCCCAAACCTGCAGTTCCCATGTCAGTGCCAGCAAACGCAAATTCCTCCCTGACATCTCTCCAGGCCCTGCTTGCCTGAGAAACAGCTGTGGATTTAAAATCTGGGGGATTGGAGCAAATTCTGCATCCATCCCCGAACTCCTGCACCCACAGAGAGCACCAAACCCACAAAATGAGGATAAAAACCCCAGGAATTCTCCCAGGGGGGCTCCCCCAGTGGGAGAGGCTGCAGAGCTGCTGCACTGTTGGGGTTTGGCTGCTCATGGGGCTGACACAGAAGCTTTGCTCCCTTGGAGTCGTTCCCTGGGGTTCCCCAAATTGTGCACGTTGGTTTTGAGCTGCCTCACATTGCTGGGGCTGGAAAAAGGAATGAATGGGGAAGGAGAAGGGCCTGGAGAGGGGACAGGGATTTCCCCAGATTTCCCCAGATCCTTTAGGGTGGTTTTAGGAAAGGTTTGAGGCTGTTCCCTGTGGGCAGGACCAAACTTTATCCATCCATCCTGCCCTGCTGGCCCTGAGATTCCATTCCTGCCCTTCCTCCTGGAGAGCTTTCTCTGCCATCACTGATAAAAATGGAATTCCTCCTTTGGAAATGACAGAAAACCCTCCCATGGAGGTGTCTGCAAGCAAAACCAGGCCCAAACCCAAATACTGCTGTGATGGAAGGGAAAATCCCATTGTGTGCCCAACACTCCCCTCCATGTGTGCAGCCACGAGGCTTTAGGAGCTGCAGTAGAGAAAATGCAGCTCTTCCCCATGCCCAGAAATGCAGACAGAGAAAATGCAGCTCTTCCCTCCATCCCAGAAATGCAGACAGAGAAAATGCAGCTCTTCCCTCCATCCCAGAAATGCAGACAGAGAAAATGCAGCTCTTCCCTCCATCCCAGAAATTCCTGCTTTATGAACATCCCTCCTTTCTCCCAGCTCACGTTCTCTGCCTCTAAAATTAAAGATAAATAACACCAGCCCACTTTTCTTTTTTAATTTTTTTTAAGGGAAATTTGCTCCTGTTATCAGAATTGCTGCACATGGGATATTAATTGGAATCTTGTTGCTGGGTCATTTTCATTGTTTTTCAAGTACTGTCCAAGAAAATGTATGAAAACTAAATTACAGCCCCACGTTGGCTGTGTGATTGAATCCTCCTCACGGCCCCAACATCCTATTAAAATATTCAATCTTGTTTTCTTACTTGAAGAGCCTGTCTGTAAAGGGCAAACTTATAGAAACCCTCATTCTCTGGAGATCCAATATCCAGGCACACTGCAATATTTCCATATTTCTGCCCTGCCTGGGATTGGGCTCACACCTCTGCCTGTATTTATTAATAAGGATTTTCAAATGCATTTTTAATTACACCATTCCTTTGCTGTTGAAGGAGTGGAGGGTTTGTGGCAGCTTTTTGGTTCCATTTTGACCTTGGAAAGTGACTTTTCCCTCTCCCTTTTTTCCACAGGACGGAGCTGTACCGGTCTCTGTTTGGAAAAGTCACAAAGGGAGAAGAAGCAGAGCAGAATTAGAGCTGGATGGAGCTCCTGGTGTCACAAAGGAGAAGAAGCAGAGCAGAATTAGGGGCTGGATTGAGCCCCTGTGTTCTCCCGCCCTCAGCTGCTCCCTCAGGCTGCCCAGGAGCAGAATCTCTGTGGTCAGAACGACCCCAAGATGCCTTAGAAAGTCTCTTTTCCCAGCCTGGCAGTCAAAGGAGGAGTCAGAATTCTTCTGTTCTGGTTTTTAAGGTTGTTTATTTTCTGTTATCTATAAAATTCTTTCCCTGGCTGCTGAGGTCTGTCCAGCAGGTCAGACAGAGGCACATTGACTGCCCTCAGAGGCAGTGTTGTCTTTTATACTAAAAACTGTGTGTATTTTATTTACAATAATTTTCCAATAACATTATTTACAGTAATTTCCCAATACCTATCACCTGTGTTAGACAGTGTGTTCCTACCTTAAACCAATCCAAAAGTGCCACCATCACCCAGAACATGGAGGCCAGGAAGAAGGAGCAAGAAGGACAAAACACACCCAAATTCCTCCATCTTGGGACTCAGAGCCCCCATTCTAAAAACCCCAAAATTCTATTTTTTTAGTAGAATTAATAGTTAGTGACAACTAATTATTATTCTGCTTAAACTCTCCTGACTTGTACAGAGCTGGTGATTTGCTCCATGGGTCAGAATCAAAGGCAGAGGGGTCCTGGGCAGCCCAGGAGCAGAGCCAGCTCTCTGCATTCTCTGCTGTGTCCCTAGAACCCCTCTGAAGGAGGTTTTCCCTTCCCTTTCTGGCTGTGGTGTTAAAGGGGAACAGAAGCACTCTCCCAGTGATAACTTCTCGGTGTTGTTGGAGCAGATAAGAGCGCGAGCGGCGCTGAGCAGCGCTTTGGAATTCACTTATCAGCGTTCCAGCAGCCTCTGCCATCCCTGCCCTGCCTCCACCTGGGCTGGGGACACGGGGACAGCCTGGGGACACGGGGACAGAGGGGACAGGCAGGGACAGAGGGGGACAGACGGCCCTGCTGCAGCGCTGACCTTGCTGCAGGGGCAGCTCTGGTTGGGCAGGAAAAGGGATTCACACAGTGCCTGGTGTGCAGGAAAAGGGCAGGGAAAGGGATTCACACAGTGCCTGGTGTGCAGTGCTGCAGGAAAAGGGCAGGAAAAGGGATTCACACACTGCCTGGAGGAAAAGGGCAGGGAAAGGGATTCACACAGTGCCTGGTGTGCAGGAAAAGAACAGGGAAAGGGATTCACACAGTGCCTGGGGTGGAAATGCTGCAGGAAATGACAGGTAAAAGGATTCCCACAGTGCCTGGGGTGGAAATGCTGCAGGAAAAGGGCAGGGAAAGGGATTCCCACAGTGCCTGGGGTGGGAGTGCTGCAGGAAAAGGGCAGGAAAAGGGATTCACACAGTGCCTGGTGTGCAGGAAAAGGGCAGGAAAAGGGATTCACACACTGCCTGGTGTGCAGGAAAAGAACAGGGAAAGGGATTCACACACTGCCTGGTGTGGAAATGCTGCAGGAAAAGGGCTGGAAAAGGGATTCACACAGTGCCTGGTGTGGAGATGCTGCAGGAAAAGGGCAGGAAATGACCGGAAAAGGGATTCCCACAGTGCCTGGGGTGGGAGTGCTGCAGGAAAAGGGCTGGAAAAGGGATTCCCACAGTGCCTGGTGTGGAGGTGCTGCTGGCAAAGGGCAGCCCCAAGGGGCTCTGGCATGGTGGCACAGCGGGAGCAGAGGGCACAGGGCCTCCCCAAAAACTCCAACAGATATTTTTGGAGCTGCTTTACCCCCAGTGTCCCCAGGTGATGGTGATGGTGTCCAGCACGGGCACAGCTCCCTGGGCACACAGAAAGGACCAGGGTGATTCCCACCAAGTTTTCCTAAAGCTGCCAATTAACAGCAAGTGAGATCTTCCCTTCTTCCCCCCCCCCCCCCCCCCAAAAAGAATAATAATTCTTTATTAATTCATGATCCAGCTGCTAATTAGTACCTCCACAAACGGGCATTGCACCTTGGCAGAGCACTGGAGGTGTTTTGGGGATGGGCTGTGCACAGGGAGGGACAGAGGGTTGTGTTAATCCTCTCCCCCCAACCCCGCCACAGCGAAGAATTTCAACTTTCAGACAAACAACTTCATTTACAAGTGTGTCTCTAATTAGCTGCAGAATTAGTAAAGCAGAGTTTTCCCCCCATAGATCGGCCAGGGCCCCGGGGGAGGCTCTGGAATGGAGAGAATCGCATTTCCAATTATTTTGTTGAATTGCTAATTTAGTTATTGTGCCTGGCGTAATTGTGATGGGTATTGGGTGTGCAATTCAATTTGTTTTAAATATTTGTGGGAAGGCTGATCAGTAATGGAGCTGACCTATTTCATGGCCCAAATTGAGAGAAGAGACTAAAACAAAAAACAGCTACAAAGCCCCAGTTTGTCTCAGTTTTTATTTTGATGTCTCTCATCCCTCTTAAGACTGTTGATGCAACAAAAGGTTTACATTAAAAGATGATGGCACTTTGATCTTGGGCTTTGGAGAGCTTACAGCTTTGGTATGTCTTTTCTTGGCATTTTAATATGGAGATATTTTAGGCTAAAGAGTTTTAAACATGATGCTGGAGTTCAGTAGGGTCTGTCCCCTCACCACCCCCCAAATTTTAACTATCCGGATTCTGGTTTGAGAAATGTGCAAAAATCAACTGCTGGAGTTGTGGTGGCTCATGTGGGCACATTTAAATCTCACCTTTCATGGGGACCCCTCCAAAGGTGTTGGTGGATCAGCTCCCAGGGACATCCTTTAAATAAAGTCCTGCTGGGCCTTTCCTACTGAGCAGGGCATGAATGAGGCTGGAAAAGGCCTCCAAGATCATCCGGTGCAGCCATCGCTGCCCCAGAACAGCCCTGCAAGAGGGTCCCAAGGTTCTCCCACCTCAGCAGCAGCCACTGGGGCTTGGGGTTTTCTCCCTGTGTGTTCCATTCACTGTGATGTTGAAGATGGGAATGGGGAGTGGCCACCATCAGGCTTGGGGACACCTGGGGACACCTGGGATGGGGCAGAGCTGTGGGATGAGCTGGGACTCGGGGCAGGGTTGGAGGGTCCCACAGAGCCCTCTGTGCAGTCCTGGCCTCGGGCAAAGCTCAGCTCCCCAGGCCAGGGGTGACAGATTGCACTCACAGCAGCAGCAGAGCTGTAATTCATTCTTTTTATTAAAAGAAATTGAGGTAAGTGAAATACTTCAGCACCAGCGAGAACCGTTCGTACCCAGGGGGCTCCCCCCACCCCGTGACCCCCCCAAACCCCCCTGGGGACATCTCAGGTGCTGCTGCCACAGCCCCAGCAGGCCCAGAGCCCCCCGGGCGCTGCCAGAGCCCGGTGCCACCCAAGGGATGCTCTGGGGCCAGGCCCGAGCCGGTGCTGTAACACTGCAATGGGGCTGCTCTGTGGGCACAGGGACCCTCCCACACGTGTCCTGCAAGGGGGACTCTGGTGACACCACCACGGGGGATCCTGGGGACAGGGAGAGCCCACCAGGCCCGGTCCTGCCTGGCTGACACATTCTCTGTCTGCGTGTCCTGCTGCAGCCCAGCCTGGCGTAAGCAAAAGCGTCTTTGGGGCTTGTTCAGGGGGCTCTAGTGGGAAAAAAAAAATCTCTTGAATCAAATTAGGGTTCTTAACTATTAAGAAAAAGCAAGTCCTGCGGGTGGCCGAGCTCTGCTGGCCACGGGCAGGGGAGCAGCGGCCCCGGGCTGGCACCTCCAGTCACTGGCAGCACTGGCAGAAGGGCTGCATTGCACTTCAGGAGCAAACAGGGACAGGGGAGAGGCACTGGCAGCATCATTGATCCATTCTCTCCTCAAACAGCCCTTCTGTACCGCACTTCTGTCCCACAGCCCTTCCTGCTGGACTAAGGAGGGGCTGCGAAGGCTGAAATTGTTCCAGGACCATCACTGGTGAGCCCGGAGAGCCCAGCCCTGTGCAGGAGCTGTGTGTGAGGGCTGGGCTGTGCTTCCCTCCAGCACTGCAGCTTCTCGGAGCTTTTGTTACATAAAAAACATGTACAAAGAGGTTGGGGATCTGGGCTGGCCTGGGGGCCCTGGGCAGCTGCCACCCCTTCCTGCACTCAGCTGCCACCCAGTTCTTCCTGACCATTGCCACGAGATTCCAAACCCAACATTTTGTCACATTCCCAGGTAAGAGTGGCCCCTCCCAGCCATGCCCAGGCAGCTCTGGGGCAGGGCAGGATGATGGAGAAAGCTCTCCACAGACTGAGATTTCCTTCTGCACTTCCAGCCCCACTGGGGCATTTGGCTCTGTCCCTTCTCCTGCCTCACCTCAGCTGCCTGGAGCTGCCCTCAGGGAGGGATGAGCACTGTTAGCCCTGAAAACATCAGGGGAGGGAGAGCAGAAACGCTGAGCAGCTGCACTTTGGTCTCTTGTGCCCCCTCCCAGAAGGGCCTTTCACAAAATTCACAGCCTGCTCTAAAGGACTTGGGCACAAAGGCAAAGCCACGGGGGTTCAGCCCCCAAAATCCTGCCCCCCAAAACCCTTCACAGCCCTGGGGAGCCTCCTGGGGGCACGGCACAGCAGCTAAAGGCTGGTTTTCCTCTACCTAGGAGACAGGACAGACGTGGGGCACACAAATCAAATCACCACTGACAGAGGGTGACACACGAATCACCGGTGACAGAGGGGAGGGCACGGGGGGACGTTGGCACTTGTCAGCACGGAGCTGCCGCTGCCGCCGGGCACGGGGAGCAGGGGAGGAGGGCAGGGGGTCCCTGCAGGGGCAGGGTGTCCCTGGAAGGACAGGAGGGACAGGGGTGTCCCTGCAGGCCCTGCCGCGCCAAGGCCTCGCGGTTCCGGAGCGCCCGGCCCCGCTCTGAGCAATAAATAAGGTCCAGGAGGCCGGCGGGGCTCCGTCCGCTCGTGTGTGTACGTTTGCCTCGTGTCCCTGCCAAAGGACGCGCTCCCTCTGGTCTGCAACAGTCCAGGTGTCCCTGCAGCAGCTCCCGGAGCCTCCCGAGCACACCAAGGGCAGTTCCCACCCCGGGCAGGGCCGGGAGCAGCCCCGGCTCTTACGTGGAGGAGGGAGAGTCCATTGTGGAGAGGATCCGCACCACCTCGGCCCGCTGCGTGGGGGACATGTGCTGGGTCATGTGCACGATGGAATCCATGGCAACCTCGGGGTTGGCCTGCACCAGGCTGTGGAGAGCACAGAGGGGAGAGTGAGGCAGCTCCGGAGCTCCCAGCAGTGATTCTGGGGGATGCAGTGTGAGGCTGGGAGTGTACATAGCCCTGGGAGCTCCCTCAGACCCCGCTGGGCTGGGGAATCCTCAGTGCGTGCCCGCTCTGCAGCCAGCCCTGCTGCCACCCGGCTCCCCTCCCTGCTCACCTCCTGATCTGCTTGAGCACATAATCCCTGGAGATGTATTTGATGTTCTCCTCCACCACCGAGCGAACGCCCTCCTCCTCCGTCAGCTGCTTCTCCAGCCACTCCACCAGGTCCTTGTTGCTGTCCCACAGGTAGGCCTGCCAAAATGCCACAGCTCAGCCTGCACCCAGCCCTGCCACTGCCCGGATTCACCCCACAAACACACCTAACAATCTGCACGAGGTCAAGGATTATCCATTTCCTTTGCATCCTGCCATAAATGTGATGGAAGGGGACCAAGGAGGTGCTTGGTCAGCACTGCAGGAACGAGCTGCAGCTGTCCCAGATAAATCCCAGTCTCCCTGGTTATCAGCTCCCCAAATTCTGGTGGAACATGGCTGACCTGACATGCAGCTGCTCTGGGGATTGTCCCAGTGCTAAATCATCAGCAGGTTGGAGTGCCTGGACCCTCAGCCACGACCCCCTTTGTGCCTTTCACAAGATCATTTCACCTGATATTTGCTAGATAGTTGGCTGTGTAATAACTCAGGAGAGTGTGAGCCCCTAACAGCCTTCTCTCCTCTCCTCTCATTTTCTTTACAAATCATTTAAGAATCGTTTTGTTAATGGTTTCCGGAAAAGCAAGTACTGCCATTAGCACTCATTCATATTTATGTCATTTTATTTGGGTAATTAAACACAAAGCTCCTCATTTAAAGGTGCACTATCCTTCTCTGTTATCACTAACCAAGTCAAAGGCAGAATGACAATGAGCTGGGGGTGGTGACACCGTGGTGGCACCTCTGGGACACAGAGCCAGGAGTCACAGAGTCACTGGGGCTGGAAAAACCTTCAGGGTCATTGAGTCCAACCATTCCCCACACTGCCCAGGCCACCACTGACCGTGTCCCCAAGTGCCACATCCACAGGGATTTCAAATCCCTCCAGGGATGGGGACTCAGCACTGCCCTGGGCAGCTGTGCCAGGGCTGGGCAGCTCCTCCCAGGGAAGAATTTCCTTTTCCATTGAGGATTTTCCTTTCCAAGGAGGAATTTTCCCAATATCCAACCCAGACCTCCCCTGGCCCAGCCTGGGGTTGCTCTCTCTCCTCTGTCCCTGTTCCCTGGCTGTCCCCTCCTGTCAGGAGCTGTGCACAGGGGACACCTCCCACTGTCCCAGCCCTGTCCAGCCTGTCCTGGGCACTGCCAGGGATGCAGGGGCAGCCCCAGCTGCTCTGGGCACCTGTGCCAGGGAGGAATTTTGGTGTCAGAGCCCATCCCAGCCCCTGACACACTTCAGAAATCCAGGATTATTTCATTTCCTTTCACTCAATGTCTCTGATTGTCTCAGCCCGGTGATGTCACTTGAAGATTTTGCTTATTTCATTGTTTTTCTCCTTGTTAAGGTTTGGAACTCGGAGTTTTGCTCCCTGCCCGTGCCCCTGGCAGGCAGCAAACAGTCCCTGCATACAAAGGCACTTCCAGGGAAGGGGGGAAGCCCAGCCCGGGAAGCTGCAGCACAGCCCCAGACCTGTGGAAAGCTCCATTTACCCAAGAATCCCAAAGCTTTTCGTTTAGGAGAATATTTAATACTCTTATTAATCATTTTTAATCCGTTTGCTTTTAATTAAGAAACAGCATGATGCTTCCCTATCAACATATGCCAGGGAGCAGATTAATTGTGGCTTAAGATAACTCTCCTTGATTGGTGTAATGTATTAGCTAACGAGCTGCCTGCTTTTGGAGAGCTCAGGCTCTACCTTGGAAAGGCTGCTGCCCTCCAGAGAACATCCCCCCTTCCCTGGAACCCCTGCGTGTTGGGGACTTCAAAAACAGAATGAAAAAAAAAATAGATTTAAAAAATAAAACACTCAAATTTAAAATATAAAGTAAAATAAATAAAATAAAGTAAAATGAAATAAAGTAAAATAAATAAAGTAACAAAGTAAAATAAAGTAACATAAACTAAAATAAAATGAAACAAATGAAACAAACTGAATAAATAAAATTGAATAAAGTAATATAGAAACAAAGGAGAATTAAATAAATACATAAAATTAAGCAACATAAATAAAATTAGATTAAATAAAACCAAATAGAATAAAATAGAAAAAATAGAAGACTAGAATAAGATAGAATAAAATAGAATAGAATAAAATAGAATAAAATAGAAAAAATATAAGAATAAAATAGAATGAAATAGAAAAAATAGAAGAATAGAATGAAATTGAATGAAATAGAATAGAATAACATAAAATAGAATAAAATAGAATAGAATAACATAAAATAGAATGAAATATAGAAATATAGAAAAAGTATAAAAAATAAAATAGAATAAAGTAGAAAAACAGAAGAATAGAATAAAACAGAATAAAATAGAATAGAATAAAATTAAATAGAATGATAGAGAATAGAATGAAATAGAATAAAATAGAATAGAATAAAATATAGAATAGAATAAAATAAAATAGAATGAAAGAGAATAGAATGAAATAAAATAGAATAAAATAGAATAGAATAAAATATAGAATTGAATAGAATTAAATAGAATAGAATAGAATAGAATGAAATAATAGAATAGAATGAAATAGAATAGAATAGAATTAAAATATAATAAAATAAAATAGAATAAAATAGAATAGAATAAAATATAGAATTGAATAGAATTAAATAGAATAGAATAGAATAGAATAGGATGAAATAATAGAATAGAATGAAATAGAATAGAATAGAATAGAATAGAAATAGAATAAAATATAGAATAGAATGAAATAGAATAGAATTAAAATAAAATAAAATAAAATAAAATAAAATAAAATAAAATAAAATAGATGCTGGCAGGGGGTCAGGGTGGTCAATGCCCCCAGCCCTGGCAGGACAGGTGGGTGCCCCCAGCCCACACTGACCTTCACCGTGCCCTCCACCTCGACGAACCAGCGGCGCAGCATGGCCTGGATCTGCCCGTCCGTCAGCTCGGGGTTGGCCTCGTGGATCTTGCTCTTCACGGCCTCCTCCAGCAGCAGCCGCCGCAGCCGCCAGTAGAAAAACGTGCGCGAGGTTTTCCAGTCCAGGACGTCCTGCCCGGGGCACGGGGACAGCAGTGAGGGACGGCAGGAACAGACACGGCTCGTTCCCAAATTAAAACCCGGGCTGGGACTCCATGGAGATTCCCCCAAGGATCCCACCCTGTCCCACCCGGAGCTGCACGGGGTGATGGAGGCTCTGCTCCAGCCCTGTCCCCAGGGAAGCTGCGGGACACCAGGAGCTGCACAGGGCCATGGAGCCTCTGGCTCCAGCCCCATCCCCAGGGAAGCTGTGGGACACCAGGAGCTGCACAGGGTCACACAGGCTCTGGCTCCAGCCCCATCCCCAGGGAAGCTGTGGGACACCAGGAGCTGCACAGGGTCACACAGGCTCTGGCTCCAGCCCCGTCCCCAGGGAAGCTGTGGGACACCAGGAGCTGCACAGGGTCACACAGGCTCTGGCTCCAGCCCCGTCCCCAGGGAAGCTGTGGGACACCAGGAGCTGCACAGGGTCACACAGGCTCTGGCTCCAGCCCTGTCCCCAGGGAAGCTGCGGGACACCAGGAGCTGCACAGGGTCACAGAGGCTCTGGCTCCAGCCCCCTGCCCAGGACACTCACGGTTATGGCTCCTTTCTCCTGCATCCTGCCGGGGGTGTCGTGCAGGTCAGCGAACTGCATGGCCACCTGCTGGTAGATGGGCACCAGGAACTCCTCCCTCTCCTTCAGCTTGGCCTCCAGCTCCTTCCTGTCGGCCGGGCTCAGCTCGGGGGTGCCTGAAACCACACACAGATCAGAATCCAGGGATACCTGAAACCACACACACATCAGAATCCAGGGTGCCTGAAACCACACACAGCTCAGACCCTGAGGTCTCAGGGGTGCAGCTCCAGCACTTGGGAAAGCCAAAGGCCAAGCCCCAGAGCATCAGCTCCCAGCAGTGCCCAGCAAATCTCTGCTCCAGCCCAGATTCTGTGCCACAGAGACTCTGGCGAGGGCTCTGAGGGTGTTTTCACCATGGAAACTCTGCTCCATTTAAATGCCAACCATCTAAGCCATCAATTAAGTGACATTTACAGGGCTTACTCCTAAAAGAGAATAATGTCCCAACACTGCTGCTCATTTAGCAGGAAACACAGAGCGTGGCACACCACCTCCACCACTGCAAGCTCTCCTTTAGGAGAACTCTTAGGGGCTCTGCAATCACAGCAGGAACCAGAGCACCCCCAAGCCCACAAACCCAGCTCAAACCACTGGGCAGAAGCTCTACAGAAACCCCAGGAGGGACCAGCCTCACCCAGTGCACAATCCAAGGCTGGAACTCACTGCCACTGGGCCCAAAGGGGCTCACAGAGGGTGATCAGACAAATGCATGCAAGGAGATTCCAGCACAGGCTCCTGAGCATGAAGATCAGACATTAACCTGTGCTCAGGAAGCCTCTAAACCACATCTGGGAGCTGGGACAGCATCCTGGGGGCTCCATCCCAGGATGCTGCTGCTCCTTCCACGCCTCATTCCCACAGGCACGATAATCCAAGGCTGCTGGTCCAAAGGGAGGAGGGCCTGCTCACACACCCCATATTTGTATGATTTCAGTGCCTCTCACACACCCCATATATGTGTTTTTCAGTGCCTCTCACACACCCCATATATGTTATTATTTCAGTACCTGCTCACACAACCCATATTTGTATGATTTCAGTGCCTCTCACACACACCATATATGTTATTATTTCAGTACCTGCTCACACAACCCATATTTGTATGATTTCAGTGCCTCTCACACACACCATATATGTTATTATTTCAGTACCTGCTCACACACCCCATATTTGTATTTCTCCAAGGCACAAGCCCTCCAGACAGAGATCCTTGCCAAGGAAGGAATGTTTTCCCTGTGCCTACCAATACAAATGTTACCTAACCCTTCAGACGCGAGTAAGAAGGTTTTAATTAAGAGAAGCTCCCCTTGTAACCTTCAGAATAAAAAATTATCTGTATTTATCCAGGCTGAAGGCCCAGGCTCCCTGGTTTCAATGGCAGCACAGGCACTCAGGGCAGCCCTGCTGGTGAATTCCAGCCCCTGCCACCGAGTCCACCCAGGCAGGCCCAGTAATGATTTAGGTGAGATTAACAAATATGTCAATGTCTATTTTCTGCTTAATTTAAAAGCAGCGTCTATAAAGATTTTTGACTTCTGAACCCTGTTCTCCTGGAAGAAAGAAGGTAACAATGAGGAGGGGGGATAAAGAGTGATTATCCCATCATCGATCGTTTGTCAGGAGCATTTCTTATTCACTGCACCATTGTAAAAAGCTAAGCTCTCGATCAATCCCGTAAGCCCCCTGTACAATTAAATATCTTGGAATGGTTTTCTTTCTTTCCTAGTCAGATCTCGAGGCCTCAGGGTTTTTCAGAAAGCCTGGGTATTTATTTATTTATTTCTTAAGGTAAAAAAAAAAAATAATAAAAGGGAAAAAAAGAAGTCTCCTTCCACAAATCTTATCCTGGCAAGGAGAGGGGAGTTAAAATATGGGATTCCTTTGCTCCAGAGGTACTTGACAGTTAATGAAACTGTTAAAGTTTAAATCATAGGAGCATTATAGACCTCTAGGTATGGATTGGCTGCTAATCAATAGGGAAACAAAAGGAGCAGTGCTCCAGACAGCCCCATTCCATGGGGACAGAGCTGGCACACAGGTGGGGCAGCACCAGGGGCAGCAGTGACCGTCCTGGCCTGGCAGGGAGCACAGGGCAGGCTCTGCAGGGCCAGGGAATGGCACCTTTCCCTTGGAATGCAGCTTCCCTGGCACCATAGCTCTGGAAGGGGCTGGGAATCATCTCAGCTCTGCTCCAACACCCCCAGAGCCCCCCAGGGCAGGGAGCACCCAGCACCTCCTGCTTCCACAAGCTGTGCTCTCTTCTTCTTTAATCAGCAGCAAAATTGCCCTAACCAGGTTGGAAAGGTGCCCTGGGGAAGCAGCAGCCTGGGGTCCCACCTCACTCCACACCTGCAGCAGCAGCCTCACACCTGAACCTCACCTCCTCTGCTTCTGCCTTGTGCAAAACAGTGCCAGAGACGAATTTATTCCCTCCTGTGAGGGTGGGAGGCACAGGGTGCCCAGAGCAGCTGGGGCTGTCCTGGATCCCTGGCAGTGCCCAAGCCAGGCTGGATGGAGCTTGGAGCACCTGGGATAATGGAAGGTGTCCCTGATGGGCTTTAGGGTTCCTTCCAATCCCAGCCATCCTGGGATTCCAGAAAATTCAGCAAAAATGCCAAAGGTGTCCAGGCTGCCCAGAAACGCCCCCAGCCAGAGGGGAGAGGGAAGGTCACAGGGAGCCACTCACGTCCCCGGAGAGACAGGCGTTTTTGGATTGTCTCTTGTTTCTTTAAATGAGACAGGCTGTAATTGCTTCACTAAATATTCAGCAGGATTTATGTCAGAAAGGTGCAGCATGAACAGCCAGTGAAGGTCACACCAGCCCGTGGCACAGGCTGCAAACATCCCTGCACAGAATCCCTGTGGTTCCCACCCTGCCCTTCCCTCCCTCTGCTCCTCAGGTCTCATTTCCCAGCACCTCAAGTGCGGCAGGGACACAATTCCAATAAAATTCCAACCCCAGCTCCTCTGGGAGGATATCCCAGTGCCAAGGAGGGGCTGAGAGAAAGCAGGGCTTGCTCTGGGAGCCCTGTGATTGTGAATTAACACCAATTTAAATGCAGCAGCACCGGCACAGGGATGCAGCTGCTGAAACAGCATCACCCACAAAACCAAGTTACAACCTGTGTTTATCCAGCACCCCATGAGAGGTGGGATCAGAGGAGCAGTGTTCCTCCCAGGTTTTCCTGAAAAACTGGCAGTGAGGGTCAGTTCTGGTCCTGCACCCCAAAATGTTCATTTCCAGAGAGGAACTGCTGTGCTGAAGTGGAGCTGAGGGGTGAATATCTGAGCGTTCACTCATTATTTGGAAATGTAAAGGCAGTTTGGATACTCAAGTAAGGTGTGAACCAAGCCCCAGCAGCACGGACTGACTGCCCTAGGAAATGAAATAAATGAAATAAATGAAACCAGAGGTGCATTCAGCACACAGGAACACCTCACAGGAGCAGCAAGGACATCCCACTATCACAATGTACATCAGGCGATGGCTGGATGCTGCCTTTTCCCTACAAGAAACACGGAAATGCAATAGCCAGCCTTGCTGTAACTGGAGCCATTCTCCATTCCTCTCACCCACATTCCACCCCATTTTTGCACCCATTTCCCTGCACCTCTGACACAGAATCTGTGCAATGAGGCTTATTTTCACTACATGTTTTAGTCCAATTTAATAAATAAATAAATTTGAGTCTCTGTACTTTAAACTGTGGCCCAAGGCTTGCAGGCTGCCCCGCTGCCACATTTCTGGGTGATCCCTGCACACCTGTGGGATGTCCCTGCCCACGTGGGGCCGTGCCCTGGGCCCGGGCCACCCTGTCTCCCCTCGCTGGAGCAGCCCAACCCTGAGTGACACTTTAATAAACCACGGGGGGGCTAATCAACATTTCAGCAACGCTGCTGCAGAATTGATAATGAACAGATTTGTGTCAAATGATTCAATACCTCCCCAAGCGCCGCGTCCAGCCGCGGCGTGGGCCGGGGGAGAGCAGCTCCCGGTGCTGCTCCCCAGAGCTGCGGGCAGGATGACAGCCACTCAGGGGTTAAAGAGAGGCAGTGAACCCCCAGCTAATGAGTAAGAATTCAGCAGGCAGTGTAAGATAAATGGAGCTTTCTCTGCTTCTGCTGGAGTCAGCATGAACCGCGGCCCTGCGGCTTGTTTGTGGCAAATGGAGTGCGCGAAATATCAAAGGGCAGTGATCCAGAAGAAGACCGACTTTGACAAATTTTAAATTGGCCAGAAAGAAAACCGGCAAAAAAAAAAAAATAGGGAAAAAAAAAAAGGGGAAAAAATTATGCAATTCAGTGTGTCCTGCAATCCTGGCTCTGCTGCTCTGGTATGGAATTAGTGGCAAAACAACAGCGATGATCAGGCGGTGCTGGCAGCAATTACAACCATCTCAGGGAGATGCTTATCAGTGACTGAAGCTTTTAGAGCTCTCCCTGTGTACAGTTGTAAGTGACTCGCTCTTGTGTTGCAGTCATTTTAATTAAAGTGTATGGAGTTTGCTGGGAGTAATTACCCTGTAGAGGAACAGGGGGGAAAAAGCCCTGATCAGGCTCCTGGCTCCTCACACGGAGCTGGGTCTGTGAGGCTGTTGGCAGAAACTCTCCCATCTTTGCCCTTGTGGGTTTTTTCAGTGTCCCAGAGGATTCAGGGGTGTCCTGCAGCCACAGAGGGGAGTGAAGGCGATGCTCTGTTCCCTCTCCCTGCAGTCCTGAGCTGGGTCCCCATGGTTTGGGGTGGTCGCTGTCCCTTTGCTCCTAAAGGGACACTCAAATCTGACAGAGGCCAAAAGTGAGGTTTGCTGAAAATAACCTCCTTGCTGCAGCTGCAGACTTTTAAACTGGGATTTAAGTCATGGAATAACAGAATGGTTTGAGTTGAAAAGGACTTTAAAGATCATTTAACTGGACACCTTCCACCATCCCAGGGCACCCCTCACCCTTCACCCGTTACTATTCCCTTCCCGAGGCATATCAGGAGGGTTGTTTTGTATATAAATTGTTGCCCTGCCATAAATTAAAAAAAAAGCAAAACAAATAATAAAATGTAACTGCAGCAATAGCCCGGATTTATCAGTCATTTGCAGAACACTTTTCCTCCTGAAGGATCCCAAAAGGCTTTATAAATTCAAGCCATACCCACATGGCACGCTTCTCCCTCCACTGAAATGTAGTCAATTTTGGAGGTAAAAGGAGGCTCTGTAAGATTATACTCTTATAGTAAGAGCCAGTAAAGGACTATTTAAAAAGCCTATTCCCCCAAGAGAGAACATATCTGATATTAAGTGCATTTTGCTGAACACTCTGTATTTTGGGATGTTGAGTGTACAGCAGGCGCTGGGATCACTCGGAGTGGTAATAACACAACCCAGCACTGAGCCCTGCTCACAGAGACATGGACAACGTTCCTCATTCCCTTGGAACTGAAGAGCACACAGACATCATTACTGCAAACTACCCCAGACACTCAGTGACAGTCCAGCAGCCCAAATGTCTCTGATCAAACCCTTCCTTACGTGAAACAACGCTGACTGAAGGCCTGGCCCACAAACCTTTAGTGAGCTGAGCAATTGCTGAGCTGGAAATCAGACCCAAGCATCTGCAGTGAGGGGCTGTTGTGAGACCCAGTCAATAAAATATAACAAAAAAGAGAAATCAGCTCAAAACCCCACAATATTCCACACCCTGGGTATGCTGAGCATGCATGAGCATCATCTCACAGGTACACACCTGTCACAGACATCTCTTATGGAAAATCCTTTCTTTAGGATTTGTCCTCCTGAGAAGCTGAGAGGCTTCAGGAACAAAATGTAAATAATGGTTATCTGCTGCTGTGGGATGCAACAGGTGCATCTGTGATTGGCCCATGTTGGTTGTTTCTAACTAATGGCAAATCACAGCACAGCTCGCTTGGACAGAGAGTCCAAGACAGAGCCTTTGTTATCGTTCTTTGCTATTCTATTCTTAGCCAGCCTTCTGATCAAATCCTTTCTTCTATTCTTTTAGTATAGTTTTAATGTAATATATATCATAAAATAATAAATAAAGCCTTCTGAAACATGGAGTCAGATCCTCATCTCTTCCCTCATCCTCAGACCCCTGTGAGCAGGGTCACACACACCTGCCGTGGTCTCACTGGTTTTCTTCCCAAGTCAGACAAATAAAACTGTCAGTAAATAAACCTGTCAGTAAATAAAAGCGAAAAGCAGTGCTGAGCTGCCCCCGAGGGGTGCCCGGGGCTGTGCCACGTACCCAGGCGCTCGGCCAGGCGCATGTACACGGGGTCCACCCTGCGCATGGTCTTCACCAGGTCCTTCCTGCGGAACCGGATCTCCACCGTGCCCTCGGGCTCCAGGATCCCTCCCCTGCAGGAGAAAACACAAAAGCACTTCTTGCACCTGACCTTGTGTCATCAGACACTAAACTGAATGGTTCAACCCCTGCTGGAAAGCGTGGGGAGGGAGACAGGACAAAGGGAGAATTGTCACTGTCGTATTTTGTGAAAAATCCCCTCTCCAGGATTTCCTCTCCTGGGAAGCTGAGAAGCTTCAGAGAAAAATGAAAACAATATTATCGCATTTACTTCTCCTGTATTTTGCTACTTTGGAATGTAGTTTAGAGATTGTTTATCCAACACGTGAATTGTTTTTACTTAATGACCAATCCCAGTCAGGCTGTGTCAGGACTCTGGAGAGAGTCACAGCTTTTTCAGCAGTATCTTGTTAAGCCTTCTGTAAATATCTGTGATATCTGTATAGTTTAGTATAACATTCTTTAATATAACATAATACAAAAAAACAATAAATTAGCCTTCTAAAAACACGGAGTCAGATGTTCAATTCCTCCCCCATCCGGGAGACTGGAGGAATTTTTAGCTCCACTTTCTCCAAGCCGAAAACGCAGACGAGGCCCCACATGTCCAACCCCATGGAAACCACCCAGGCCATGAGGAGTGTCCCAGGCAGAGGTGTGTACCTGCTGTCCCTGTCAGCGTACATCTCCATGTGCCTGGGGTTGATGGTGGGGTCGATGACCACCCAGGAGCCGCCGCGCAGCTCGCCCTGCGGCGGGATGTACACCAGCACCGGCTGCCGGTACTCGCGCAGGCCGTCCACGATGTACGCGCCAAACTTCAGCACCTGGTCATACATGTCTGGGGAGGGACACACAGATGGTCAGCATGGCTGGGGAGGGACACAGAGATGGTCAGGATGGATGGGATGGACGCAGAGATGGTGTGGAATGGCTGGAGATGGACACAGACATTGTCAGGATGCATGGATGGGACACAGAGATGGTCAGGATGGAAGGGATGGACATAGAGATGGTCAGACATGGCTGGGGAGGGACACACAGACTGTCAGGATAGATGGACAGGACACAGACATGGTCAGGATGGATGGGGATGGACACACAGATGGTCAGACATGGCTGGGGAGGGACGCAGAGATGGTCAGGATGCATGGACGGGACACAGAGATGGTCAGGATGGATGGACGGGACATAGAGATGGTCAGACGTGGCTGGGGATGGACACGGAGATCGTCAGGATGGATGGACAGGATATAGAGATGGTCAGGAATGGATGGGATGGACATAGAGATGGTCAGAATGGATGGGGATGGACACAGGCACAGCTGGGGATGGACACTGAGATGGTCAAGCATTGCTGGGACAGGGACAAACAGCCTGGAGTCACAGCTCCAGTGACTGCAGGTGCCCTGGGGATGATCCATCCCTGCCTTCCCAGCCCACAAACACTCCCACAGTTTGGGGAATCAGCCTGGCTACATCTGCACTGCCCAATTTCAGACTCACTACCCCAGACCTCTCCCACAACTCATGTAATGTGAATAAAATGCACCTAAGGGCAGCAGAGCTCTTCCAGATCTTCATAAAATGTGTGTGGAGAGGGATGGGGAGCAGCACTCTGCTCTTCCTCCATTAAAATTTGTTTAAGGCACTTTGCTCAAAATTAATAAGAACAACTCCACTGTGTAAAGACAGTACATTGAAAATATCAGCCCCAAAGGTGATTTAAATAAAAGAGAAAAAGGGAAGGCAGAAGAATTTCTATGAGATGATATAGTTTCTAATGGATACAGCTTGTAATGGAAACGGGCACTCTTGAATATATATATATTTTGTTACATATAATTATATCTACAAGTATTAAATCAAAATAGAAGAAATGAAAAACATTTATTAGGCTCATCTAGCCCACCTCTTTGTTCACACAGGACTGTTTCTGCCACAGTGCTTTTGAAAGCTCCCATTTAGAAACCCCAAACAATAAATCTGCTTCTTTAGGGGCATTTCCACAGTCCAACAGACGAGATTTCCCTCAGAACTCAGCCAAACTTCCCCTCCCTCCCCATTAATTTCATGTCACTACCCCTTGTAGCACCTGCACAATGCCTGCTCTCCTTCAGGCTCACCACAAACAGCAGCAGGATCAGTGGGGTTTGTCCTTCTGCAGGAATCCATCTCTCAACCCTTCCAACCTCCTCCATAATTTGGGTTTTTGCTTGGACCCTCCCAGTTTGCCTCATTAAAATACCAGTGCAGAGAAAATAAAAGATCTGCATTTATGTACTCACACCTGCTGCAACAGGAACAGTCTGGGAACACTGAGACACTTTTATTCATCTAAAATCCTCCTATCCCTCGAGAAAAGCCAAGGTGCCTTTGTCATTTAACCCTCATTTTAGTGTTAAGCATTAACAGGAACATAATTAAGCAATTAACTCTTTGGGAAACACTCTTTTATACTTTATGTTTATATAAATATATATTTTAATATTTATAATATTTTATATTCATATATATATATATGTGTGTATATATATATACAAACAAATATAGAAAAATATATATTAGTACCACAGGCACTGATAGGATCTTTCCATTTCATTTCCAAGGTCATTGCCCAAACACCCAAGAAAAGGAATTTCATGTTATTTAAGAGGTATCAAATGCTGACAAAAGGAAGAACAATTTATTCCCTCTAATTGGGAATAAACATAAATCCCAGCAGAGACAGTGAAGAGTGAGAACAAACAAAACTCCAACCTTTCCCTTTGTCCTGAGCAAAGAAAAAGACTCAAAAGGGGTGACAAATTTATTACTAATTATACAATTATTTTATTATGTAGTGCTAGTAATAAACCACTTGAAGTACTTTCAGCTAATTCTAGTGTTAAGAAAATAATTGCTTGATTCAAATTATTTTAACTGAATTAATTCTTTACTAGACATTTTTTACTAGTGCTACATAATAAAATAATTGTGTAATTAGCAATACATTTTTCACTCCTGCCACGGGTGTATATTTTACTCAGGTGAAGTGCAGGGAAGAGCAGCACTAATTGTTTGAACAGGGCAGAGGGAGGAGAGGCAGAGGAACTGGGGGAACCTGATGCATTCTCAGAGCTCCAAGGTGTGATCAGGAAGGGATTTCATTTCCCAGGAGCCTGCAGGTGCTCAAGGAAGTGTTTCTGTGCCTGTGGATGCTTTTGGATCCTTTCTGTGCCTGAGGATCCTTTGGGATCCTTTCTGTGCCCATAGATCCTTTGGAATCCTATTTGTGCCTGTGAATTCTTCTTGGGATCCTTTCTGTGCCCGTGGATCCTTCGGGATCCTTTCTGTGCCCATAGATCCTTTGGGATCCTATTTGTGCCTGTGGATACTTTGGGATCCTTTCTGTGCCCGTGGATCCTTTGGGATCCTTTCTGTGCCTGTGAATTCTTCTTGGGATCCTTTCTGTGCCTGTGAATCCTTCGGGATCCTTTTTGTGCCCATAGATCCTTTTGGATCCTTTGTGTTCCCGTGGATCCTTTTCTGTGCCCATGGATGCTTTTGGATCCTTTCTGTGCCTGAGGATCCTTTGGGATCCTTTCTGTGCCTGTGAATCCTTCTTGGGATCCTTTCTGTGCCTGTGCATCCTTTGGGATCCTTTCTTTGCCCATGGATCCTTTGGGATCCTTTCTGTGCCTGTGCATCCTTTGGGACCCTTTTTGTGCCCATAGATCCTTTGGGATCCTTTCTGTGCCCACAGATCCTTTGGGATCCTATTTGTGCCTGTGCATCCTTTGGGATCCATTCTGTGCCCGTGGATCCTTTGGCACAGGCACAGGAAGGACGTGCCTGTGCACAACCCAGAATCCAGCCCCACAACCCATCACTCACCATCCAACCCAGAATCCAGCCCCACAACTCAGAATCCAGCCCCAGAACCCAGCATCCAGCCCCAGAACCGAGGATCCAGCCCCACAACCCAGGATCCAGCCCCACAACCCATCACCCACCACCCAGCCCAGCCTCTCCCCTCTGCTTTCCTCTTTCTTTTCCCTTTATTTGATGTTGTTGGGGCTCTGTCCCGGGCAGAGGGGAGCACAGTGGAACCCCAGCCCCGCCAGGGGGATCAGGGCTCCCTGTGGGAGGTTTCCATGTGCTCAGCCCCGCTGCAGGAGGACCCTGGTGCTCATTCCCAGGGAATGTCACGCTCGGGGTGTCCCCGCCGTGGGTCAGCGCCGCCTCACCCAAACGGAGCCCAAACCAGCCCTGCCAAATGGCTCCTCCAGCACAACGTGCCAGCCAGATCTTCAGCATTTCATCCTCATTGTGCTCAGGAGCCTTCTGGCCACAGAAGGGGACAGCACCACACCACAAGCTGCCTTCATTTAGGGGGTTTTTTATATATTTATTTATTTTGCAGCAAGAATTAGACCTCCCAGGCTGACTGGGAAAGAGGGGGTTTAATTTTTTCCCTCTTATTTTTTTTTTCCTTTTCCTCCCCCTTCACTAATGTCAATTTTCAGCATAGCAAGAGCTGTCTCTAATCTTTTCCTACTCATTACACACAATTTTGGAGTCATTTTACCCACAGTGCAGTCAGCTCCTGGCAGTGTGTTTGTGTGCACTGAGGGGTGGCATAATTGTTTATTTTCCCTCCCTGCATAATCCCCAGCCAGCACTGAAACCAAAACTGCAAACAACTCCCCGAGGGACCCCGGGAGTGTCAGGAGACACCAGCAGCAAGCAGGAGGCTGGAAAATGCAAGGAGCAAGGTGCAAACTGCAATGGCTCTGTCCTGCCCTCCTCCTGCTGCCAGCTGCCTGGAATAACTTGGGATGTGCAATATAAATATTAACATCCTCGTGCTGCCTGTTCCACACAACCCCAAAGCTCAAACTCAGCTTCTGAGGAACCCAGCAAGGCCAGACCTGACATTTTAAGGTAAAACAATATTTAAGGACTAAATAAGGTAAATAAATAAGCTAAAATTACATCAACAGCATCCCAGTGAGTTGTGTGGCTGGGAAAGCAGCTCATGTAGGGGGTGCAGAATAAGCAAACGGAGCAGAATCCACCTCAAAGGCAAATGGTGTTTTCCAGAGGGAAGAATTTTGCCCTCTTTTGCCACCTTTGCCTCTGCAAACTGAGAGGCTTTGCCTTGTGCCCAGCAGCCTCTGCCACCCTGAGAGCTCCAGTGCTCCCTCACATAGGCAAGAGGCCCTGATCCAATCTTTCACTTCACATTTTACAGCATCAATCTCACATCCCTGGCACTTCAGCACACTTCAAGCAGCACTCTGTGGTGCCCTGAGCAGCCAAGCCAGAGCCCAAACCAGACCCAGGACAGCTCCAAAGTGCTGCTTACCTTTCATTCCCCCAGAGAAGCCTCTCCAGTTGGCAAAGACCATCAGGGGCAGCCCTTCCCTGTTGAAGTCCTTGATTGCCTGGGCTGTTTTGAAGGCAGAGTCAGGGAACCACACCTGCCCAGCCTGCTGGATTATCTGGTGGCAAGAAAAATCCACTGTCAGGCCCTTGAAGCGCATTAATGTAAAAGTTAAAACACAGAAAAAAACATCAGGAGCTGTGATGTGGGATAAACAACGAGGAGCATGGCAGGTGAAATGCGTGGGACCTGCTTGGCCGTGGGAAAACTGGGACAATCCTTTTGTCACCAACTTCAGCATTCCCATTAATTCAGCTAAGAAAAGAGAGTGTGGACAGCCTGACACTGATGCTGTAAGGAGAAGAGAAAGAAAAGGAGATGGAGAGGAAAAAGCCCTGGAGAGATGAAGCAGGGCCAGGGCTGTGAAACCAGGCAGGGGAACAGCAAAAGGAAGGTCATGGAGCACTGCAGTCACACAAGAGAGCAGGGAAGGGATTTTTGCTTGTCACATCTCCTGATCCCTGATCCCTGCCCCTCCCTGAGTCCTGAGGGAAGCAGGGCTGCAGGGAATCTGGGAATTCCTGGAGGTCAGGAATGTAGGAATGGTCACACAGCAGAGTGCAGGCAATGCCAGCTCCCCAGGAATGGGAACCACACCTGGGGAAAGGAGGGAACTGCACAGGGACACTGGCAGGGGACACACAGGGACAGGGGCACACGGCCCACCCACCTTGGCCTCCGAGTCCAGGTTTGCAGGATCAGCAGGAATGCTGAGCTCCACCGTCCTCGTTTCCACAGCAACCACTCCTACAGGTATTCCTCCCAGCCTGCAAACAGGTGAGACACTGAAATTCCTGCTTCACACAGCCAAACACCCAGGGGGGACAAGGAACAGGAGCAGAGTTGGGGCTGGAGAGTTCCAGAGAGGTCACAACCCTCAAAGCAAAATCTACTCCAAAGATGAGCACATTCCTATCTAAAAATCAAACATAATAAACCACATCCAGATTTTGAGTGGTAAAGTAAATCTGTGTATCCATCACCCTTTCCCTGCCATCACCCAGATTTTGGTACTGGTGGATTTGACCATGAAAAAACAGAGAATCCCAGAAGGGGATGGTATTTAGAGGGACTTTAAAGAATTTCTGTGTTTTCCCCAGATCTGCTCTGCAGGGTGACAGTCAGGGGGACAGGGAGCAGGGACAGAGGGACGGACAGCAGAGCAGGCACCAGGGAAGATCCCAGCTCTGCCTCCCAGGGCAGCCAGCCCTGCTGCACACAAAGGCCATGGAAGCCCTGCTGCCAGGCCAGTCCCAGCAGAGCCCCTCTCCCTCCCCAGGCAGCCCAAGCTGATTTCCCACAGCCAGGGCAGAGACAGGGCCCATGTGCACCGAGGGGCTGAAATATTCCCATTCCCTGTGATGAAGAGTCTGCTGGAACCCCATAATTGCAGGAGCCGTCCTAAATCGGTAACTTATAACTTCTGTATTAGGGCCCATGTGACCTAATAAAGAACATCTTTATCCAAGTATTACAGTTATTTATTGAACTTGAAAACAGCTCAAAACAACTTCTGTTTTCCATAATACTTCATATAAATTTTATCAGGCTAGCACATGAAGATGCTACATCTTGTTTTATAGTGTGTCCCTGGACAAGTTGCCATAGAATAATAAAAGACAATTTACAGCCAACAGCACACATATTCCAAACATACATATGAGAGATGAGTTTTGGCAGCACTTACAGTAACAATCCCAGAAGAATACATTCATATTTGTTTTTTTTCAAAGTGCCACTGCTTTTGAAAGGAGTCTGTTTCATTTGTGTTATATATCCCTGCTGTGTGAGAGTCCAAAGCCACTCGGAATTTGTCAGAAGAAAGGAGCTGCAAGTGAAGCTGAGCATGGACAGAGAGCTTCTGGCTTTGCCAAATCATTGATTTCCACCCCTGGCACACTGCTTGGCCTGGAAGCCTTTAAATTATAGAATTATAGAGCCATGGAATGGGTTGGAAGGGACCTTAAAGGTCATCTCATCCCTTTCTTTTCAACTCCTTCTATTAAATATATATAGACACAGAGAGAGAGAAGGAAATAATCACAGGAATGTTGTGTTCTAGAGAAATGCAAAGCTAATCCAAACTTGATTTCTACAATTGCACAAAACACAGAACTTACCTTGCTCTCCCCACCACCACTGTCTGTGCCCAGGGCTGCATGATCTCCATGAATGAGCCATGGTCAAAGAAGCCACTCAGCCACTGCCCTTTCTGATCTAAAAGGAAGGGGAAAAAACGAAAATCAAAGGAGGAAGGAGAGAGGGAAGAAAGAAAACAGAATATCAAAGCAACAAATCAAACTTGCTTAAAAATGCCAGCTGGAGAACATGGCACTGTCTTTTTATTTATTTAATTTTAAATAGATGACAATACAAGGGAACATTAGACAGCTGAGCATTTGTCTGCCTTCAGCCATCATGTCTTATTTCATTTCCTAGTCTGCATAAAGACAGCAATTTATCAGCAAAAGCATCATTTATTGTTAAACGATGGGGTTCGGAGAGCAGAGGGACTTCCCGTGCTTTTAAATAAATAACTCTGCTTTTTTCAAGACTACAAACATTTGTCAAAAGGCAGTAAAGTCATTAAAGATGGTTTTCAACACATCTATTTCTATTTTAAAACTTATCTCATATTCTTCTCTTGATCCTGCCTAATCTTTCTTTGAAAGAAGGAATGCTGCAGAAACCCAGGAACTAAATACGAAAATTTCAATGGTATTTCAGAGTCAGTTACAGAAATCACAATTCTGTGGGGCAGCTGCTGTGCACTGGGGTTTTGGGAAGCTCTGCATAAAAATAACCCACAAAAAAATCCTCCCAAAACCCCAAATCCCTCCCAGCCTCACCCCCTGGCACAGAGCTCCCGAGGAACTCTTCCCTCTGCTTCTGCAAACCCAAGTCCAAAACCAATTAAAAAGTGGAGATCCGAGCACGCTAACCTCTGCTGACTTAAACAGGATGGAGAGTGTTTTATCAAGCCCAAACTTGTAATTACTGTGTTCTACATTCTTTGCCTCTGTGGCCCCACTGTAAAATGTGACCATCCATTTCAGAATTATCTCTTTATCGCGAGCCCGAAGCTGATCGTTGAGATTCTGGCCTCGTGTCGGGCGTCACTTTGAAGAATATCACGGCAATATCTCCTCTAATAAATGGCTTTAACTTTTCACCTAGGAGATATCTGCTTTAACTTATCACAGGGAATCATCTGCTTTCCTTAACGCTTCCACTAAATTAAAATCTGAAGTCACTCGATTTGGAGGCCGGCGTTTGCGGCGCCCGGACAGCTGGATGAATTGCTTGAGAGATGATGAAAAAATATTATCCAAAACCAGAAAACTTAGTTTATCACAAATCTCATTTCAGCCCCCCAAACTCATTAATAACAGCGGGAGTAATGGTCACCCAGTTTGCAGCTTGTACCTACACAAGGCTGCACAACCCCAGTGGTGCCAACACAACAACTCCCCAAGATCTGCAGGAATATTGTGATTCCCTCTGTGGATGGACTTTCCCTAAATCATAAAAAGAAATCCATAGAAGTGCCTATTCTCAGTATATAGATCATCTATAAAAGTATGGTGTCCTTGAGCGCTCAGGATTTACATGCTACTTTTAAATATTGTTTATAAATAATATAATTGATTAATATTATTATGTGTAAATATTTATATATTCTAGCCATACTGCTCAGAACTAATTATTTTACAGCATCTGAAATATATCTGGGTAGCAGACACGTGGCAAACAGCCTTGGAACAAGGTGAGCTGCTGCATGTCCTGGCCTTACTTGGGTTGGGGCGTCCAGCCAGCATCCAGCGAGGGTCGTAGGGGGCCTTGGTGGGAACAAAGTCAATGGTCCTGTCTATGGGGTCCTTGGCCTTCAGGATGGGCACAGGGCTGTGGATGTTCTAAGGGAAAAAGGGAAACACAGAAGGAAGTGAGAGCCCCTTTCCCAAAACCCTGCAAACACAGCAAACAGTGGCACCTCTCACCTGGCAGGCCCAGGAATTACCTTTGGCATGTAGGAAAGCCACTGCAGAATGGTGTAGACCCCTTCAAAGTCATCACACACAGTGCCATGGGTCACCCCGTTGTTGTGCATGATCTGGATCCCTCCCAGCTGGTTGTTGGAGGTGTAAACTTCCCGTCCAAGCACCTGGGGGAAGAGAAATGGGAGAGCCATCAGGGCTGGGGTGTGAGCAGGAGGTGCTGGCCAAGGAGGGACACACAAACCCAGCCCTGCAGCACCTCAGCATCACCTGGAAATGGAAAGGATGGAGCAACCTCTCCCAGCACAGCCTCCCAAGCCCTGTGCGCAGATAAGAGCTGCTGAACAGTGATCCCCAGTGAACAGAGGGCAGGGGTGAGTGGGATATTGGGAAGGAATTTTTCCAGGGGAGGCCCTGGCACAGGATGCCCAGAGAAGCTATGGATCCCTGGAAGTGTCCAAGGCCAGGTTGGACTGGGGTTGGAGCAGCCTGGGATAATAGAAGGTGTCCCTGCCCATGCCAGGGGTGGAATTGGATCTTTAAGGTTCCTCCCAGCCCAAACCATTCTGGATTCTATGAACCCCAAGGGGAATGATACCAGTGGGGAAACTGAGGCAGCTTTCCCTCTCGCCCTCCCCAAGCAGCAGTGTGACCAAAGCTCCTGAGTGCTGAGCCCAGCTCAGCTCACTAATCCCAAGCTGCTCCAAGAAACTGTGGGTGGATGTATTGAAATATATAACTGAGAAAAAATAAAAAACAACAGACAAAGGCCCATGAGCTCCTGGGAGAGGCAGGCCAGAGGCAGGCTGGGGCTGCTCATTCCCTTGCACAGCTCCATCTCTAATCTGAGCCTGGGCAGCACAGCTCTTTTCTCATTCTCCTGCTGTCTCTTCCCATTTGCCCTCTCCCTGACTGATACACTGATCTCTCGGTCACTTGGCTTTCTGCTCCACTGACTCCATATTACTAATAACACCTCTGCCACGGCCAGTTTACCTCATGAAGGCAGGAGCACATCATTACAAAATAAACTCATAACTTTGACATTCCAGCAAATACACGCCGTTTGTTATTTTTATGGGTTGAGTCTTTCTAACAGACAGAGGACATTACACACCTGCTTCATTTGGATCTTCAAAACCCCCTCAAACACACAGCACCAGCCTGGCCTCCCCCAGACACCCAGCACAGCTCACTCTGGGCACTGAGGAGCTGGCACATGCCAGCCAAGGTTTATGTAGAGAAAAAACCGAGGCACAGATGTCACAAACCTAACCCCAAATATAGAATTCAGGGTGTGTTTTAGCACAGGGATGTTCCCGGCTCTCCCTTCTGAGCTCCAACACCTTCCTCCTCCTCCTCTAACAGAATCAGTGCCAAGCAAAGCCGTGGTAGAGAAGACAGCAGCACAGATTTAGGTTCAAGGATAAGAAAAGCCCAGGCCTCCAGATGCCAGGCACAAGCCTAGCTAAATGCTTCCCACAGAGGAAAATAAAAATAAAGAGGATTTAAACTGCCCCTCTCTGAACCAATGCAAACGCGTGTACATGCAAAATGGGCCTCTGCTCCTGCTTATCTGGAGACTCTGCAGACAGCTCAGGTTTAGCACTGCTGACAGGCAATGAAACAGCCTAACATAGCACTGCTCTCACCCCTAAATCCCTTTTTAGAGATGCAGATAAACACACAGCTCCTTCTGAGAGCTGCAGCCCTTCCAGCAGAGCCTGCGGCAGGGGGAGAGCCCAGAGCAGGAGGGAGCCAGGCAGAGGGAGCCCAGCTGCAGGGAAAGGTGCTTGAGGAGAGCCTGTGCTGGGGCTGGGATGAGCTGGAGGGGCACAGGTGAGAGGGGACAGTGCTCTGAGTCACAGAGCCTCAGCACAGCATGGGCTGCTCCATCCCCTGCCTGGCACTGGGGGTTCGGGAGGGCTCAGGGGGCTCAGGAGGATCATGGAACCGAGAATGGTCTGGCTGGGAAGGGACCTTAAACTCTTCCCATGAAGGAATTCCTCCTAGTGTCCAGCCTGTATCTCCTCTTGTGCTGCCATTTGTTACCTTGGAGAAGACCTCCAAAATATTCCAAAATACTTGGGGCAGTGTTGCCAACACTGAGTTCATAAGATCTTCAAAAAACCCATGAGGAAAGCACATTTTTTGTTATTTCAGAGGATCCTTTGGCAAGCACGAGCAGAGCCAGGATTCCAACAGCCTCTGAAGGATGGTCCTCAACAGGTTCATAGGCCCATCATGTGCATATTTATAATTTTCCAGCACTCCAACCCATGCTGAGCAGCTGCTTTCCCCTCTCAGAAGCTGAGCTGCTGGAGAGTTGGGACTTTCCCTGCAAAGCTGGGCTGGCTCATCTGTTTCACCCAGGCTGAAAGATCTGAAAACATGACAGCTTGGAGGGCTTGAATGGGAATCATTATGTAACATAAGTGCTGTTATTATTCCAAGCATATCATGTGTTCATATCAAATATAAGTGCCAGATTTTTATCCAAATAATTTCAATAATTGCAATTCCCATCCCACAATTTATATTGTCTGCCAGGAACACGAAGCAGGAGAGGCATATGCACGTCCTATAAATAGCCTATTTTTCATAAACAGGCAGAAATGATGGGAATGAATGTCTCATCAGAAAAAATGTAGGAACACAATGCAGGAACTTCAAACCTGACTGCTATTATGTGCAGCCAAGCCTCGACAGAGCTCAGTGCTCATTTCCAGCTCTTCCCCCACACGGATCACGCATTAGAGGGGAAAAGCAGCAAGAGGGAAGAGAGCACAGAATGCAGAGCCCCGTGCCTGGCACTGGGAGCACAGACAGCTCCTCTCTGCCCTTCCTGCATTGCTAATCCTGGCTCTGTGCAGTTCCTGCACTCGGAATTTACGAGCGTGCGGTGGGGGACCCTTCTGACTGGGGAACAGATTGGCTCGGTCTAATGCTTGGAGATTATTAAAGGCAGAGCTATACTCCACTATCAAGTCTACAGATCTTTTATTTAGAAGATATGGTGCTCTAAATGCACAAAGAGCTCCCTGTCACCTTCACATTAAAGCCCCTAGTGCCTGGTAAATGGAATTATATAGCTGTCATCTCCTTTCCCCAAAGTTTTAAGAGTACAATGGGCTCATTTTTTCCCACTCCATCCCAGCTTCAGAACTAAGAGACCTACTTTGTATTGATTTAGAGTCTCGGAAATAAATAAACCTGCTTCTCCAATGTGATTCACAAGAAATTCATGATACACTATTGCATGATATATTTCAAGCTGCAGCCCCGGCTCTTTTTTCCCTTTGGTGAGTGATGGGGGAGGTGGGAGCTGGGGGGAGGTGGGGAGCTGACAGCCTGATGGTTATTGGGGATGGCTCCTGACTGCAAATCCAGGGGCAGGTCCTGCTGCTGGAGTCCTTCCCTGCTTCCATTTGGTGAGATCAGAGGGGGAAGGGGCAAAAAAGCAATTGCACTTCAGCAGGGCAAGGTGCAGCCAGGAGCACGTGGAAATGCAGCTCCTGCTCCTCCCAACGCTCCTCACAGACACACAGGGAGCAGGGCTCCACAGCTGGTCACACACACCACAGGTTCTGTCTGTCTGTCTGTCTGTGTGTCTCCATCACACATTTTTGGTGGGAAGGTTTTCCCACCTTGCGGTTACTGAGGAAAATTTCTGGGCTGCAGCAGAAAAATCAGGTTTTGCCATCTTGAGGGCTGAACTACAAACTCGAGATCAGACAGGCTCCAAATGACCTCTAAAATATCTGCTGTACGTATTAAAAATAAAAATTAATTTGGGAAGAAAATCAGCTGGGAAATGAGAACCGAACAACTTTTCATTCGACCCAAAAAATTCCTGAGAAGAAGCTCATCCAAACTGATACTTCTTCCTGAAGAGCTCCAGATTCAGTGAAGTGGCATTTCCAAATGAAAAATGTCTTGTCAAAACCCTCGTGCCCCTCTCTCCTCTCCCTGCGTGTGTTTTGCTCAAGGTCACTCCCTCAGCCAGTGGTAAATCAAAAGGACTCAATTCACTTTGCAAACTAAAATTACAGCCCCTCTTCTGCATGGTGCCAACGCCCATAAATCCCACCTGTCCCAGCCAGGGGTTCCCTAAGCTAGATATGAACCCCATAAACAACATCAATGGCTGTCTCCAACGCAAAGATCTTGGTCATTTCCTTTGTCACCTTCTGGACCCCAGAGAACCTTCTGGACCCTGTCACTGAGAGACCCTGGGGCAGAGGCTGCAGTGCAGGGACCTCTTCACCAGCACACTGAAACTCTGCTCACTTTGCAGTGTGAATTTAGGTTCAGTCATGAGAAATGCTCCAATGCAATTCTCCAGTGCTGTTCCCGCAGTTCCCATCATGTGTCCAGAATCACAGGGAATTCTTACAGAACACACCCCAGGCTGCTCACCCCAATGTCCCCCTGGGGACAGCCCAGGAGGGATGGTCTGGACCAATAATTCTGGGATATTTTTGAAAAGTTCAGCTCCTGTGGAACATCAGGGAGCAGAGTTAATGCTCCAGTGAGAACACAGCCTGCAGGATCCCCAGGAGCAGGGCACAAACCTGGGGAAGAGCTTTGGACAGGCAAAATATGGCCCATGATGGCAAACTCGTGTTTAGCAGAATTAAACACACACAGAGCCCCCACCCACACAGATAAACTGAGCCAGATCTGTATTAAAAATGATAGAAGGAGGGAGAATAAAAAAAGTCAACAGAAATCTATTAGACTTCCCTCCCTAAGCAAACACCAAGGGACTGATAATGGCATGCCTGGAACGTAAATTGTCTCTAATGGGAACAATACACAAATATCACCACTTAAAGAAAGGCAATTAAAACAAAAATGCAGCCACGGAGGGTGAGGGTGGTTGTTTATCTGCACTGAGGCCAGGCATCCATCCTGCCTGCATGCACTGCTCCACACAGAGCAAGAGAACACGACCTCCCCCTGGGCCCACCCTTGTTCTCAGCACCCAGGGCACAGCTAGGTTATCCCTCCTGCTCCCCAGGATAACCTTGGGCAGCCCCAACCTCCACACAAGGAGCCAACCCTCGATGCTGGTGAGTGCTCATTTCTGGTTGACATTCCCAGCCCTCCTTGCTTAGCATTCTCCAACACCCTGCACCCATCCAGATCTCCCAACAGTCCTGCT